AGCAACTAGGTGGATGAATGTTTAATAATGTTTTGCGAAGGGATTGGTTTATTTAGCTCTGGATTTTGTGTTCTGGTTTTGGTTGCTGCAAACCCAGCAAATAGTTAGATAGATTTGTTTTTTTTAAAAAAGTGGAACGGACGGCTGAAAAATAGAGCATTTTGAAAGTTCTCTGGGTGGGGGGTGGGGTGGTTAAACTTCCAACTGGAAACCAACCTATTTGTCTCATCCAGAGTCAGACCTTTGTAAAAAGCCATTTCCTAAATTTTGGAGGAAAGTCCAATTGCAAACACCAATATCAATTCTGCAAATGTATTCAACATAATTCAGATTCAAAATACCCATTTGGTTTGAATCTGGGTAACCCTGTCTGAATACAGTTTCTGAACATTCATATTTGCTGCTGTCCAGATTCATTTCACTGTAGCAGGCAGTATTAACAACCAGTGTGACATGTCTGCTTTCCTTCTGCAAAGACGGTCTGCTGTTCTGGAGCCAGGTCAACTCTGGTTTGTAAGCCTAAATTCTCATTTGAATCCAGAATACCTCTAAAAGGTTTGATAGTTTTTTTTCTTTCCCTCCCCCCGGTTGCTGTTGCAGACCTCCTAGTAATCAGCTCAAGGGGTATTGGATGGGATTCAGGAATGAGATGTGACCTCTTGGCCGCAATGTCCTGAAAAGGCAGAGGAAAGGGAAGATTCATTTCCTCGCAAAAACTAAAGTGAAAATCAAACACTCCTTTAAATTTCTTGTACAAATTCCTGTCAGTATAAGTGACTGATATTGGGTGCCAAGTCCCTATTTTTTTCTATTTAATGGAATAATTTAATCTGCTGTAGTTTCCATTTGCATTTTTACTCATCTCACAAGGATTTGAACTGCAACAGGACTGAAGGTATTAAGGGATATGGGGCAAGGGCTTGTAATTGGAGTTGAAGTACTGATCAGCCATGATCTTATAGAATGGCGGAATAGGCTTGAGAAACTGAATGGCCTACTTCTTGTTACTATGTTTCCTATGGAGAGAGAGAGAAAATGGTGTGACCTCCGGAAAAAGTGCCCTTTTACTGCAATGCTAAACTGCCAATTGCTTACACAGCTGTTCCTTCATAGTTGATGCCTGTTTGTTGGATTTTAGTCTGTCCGGACCATTGAAGACCTTTAATTTGAACTGCAGCATTTATTGCTGGTAGCTAAGAGCTCTGTGTCCATTCTGGCAGAGTGTTGTCAGATGTAAATAGGGCTCTGCTGGTCTGCCACGTACACACCAGTCTGATAGTCGGTCAGAAAAATGCTAATTTTTTTTGCTTTGAATTAAAGAATCCATATGAAAATTCTCTCTTTTTCATACTCATTCTTAATATTGAGCCAGTGATTATGCCATGACTTTGATGCCAATTATTTATTACTCCAGTAATACAGAAACTGCTGTATATAAAATGCTTTCTTTACGACATGCTGCTTCTACCTCCTTCATTAGAGTAGTTATTAAGAAACTTGGCCCTTTACTATAAATGTGCTTTACACCTGGCTTCCAAAGTCTGTATTGCAGATGTCCTGTTTATTTTTTGTGGAAGTGGATTCAGCCAATGTTTCCTGCATAGTAGTATCAACATTTTCTATGATCAAGTTTCTGCCCAAGTCAGTCCTGTTCGATGTCCACTTGAATGTATCAGATTATTATTGTTTGTGGTAATGTAGTGGCATTTACTCTTCCATACTAGAAATAGATCAAGACTTGGTCACAAACTCACATTGTTTACCAGCACTGGAATGTTTTTAGCCTTATGCAGTGGTGTCCTGTTGAAACTGTTTTCTTTGAAAGCAATGTATCAGGAAAAATGGGAATGTTTCCTGGTGAACTGTCACCTTGAATCCCAGGATTTGCCCCATTTTGGGCATGTGTGCCTTGGGATCTTTATAATCTGTTATTACATGTGAACAAAGGGGGTTTGATAATAATATTGAATTATTATTATAAGAATCCATTTCATAGACAATAGCTTCTGTTCCATTGATAGGTGGCCAACAAACTGAGACTTCATGTCATCAGTTTCCTTGAGGTAATTGTAATTTCATATTAACTCCCAGAATGTTTAAGTTATTATACATAAACTGCCTGGAGTGAAACCAGAGAAGTCTTGGCATTAAGAGACAATAGCACTACTTGAATTGTTCCAGGTAATCTGATAGGGATATTAAGTACAGATCTTGTTTCAATTTTGCTTAGATTGATTTGGTAGTAGAAAGAAATTTAGATTGAAAAATGTACAAGATTTCTCATAAAATTAAGCATGTCTTTAAGTGTTAGAGAACACTATTTTGTATCAAGTATGCAGCAATATTATTGTACTTTTATACTTGTTACTAGACCTCCCACACAGAATGTAATCATGGTTTAAAAGCTGAACAATTCATCATTCAAGGTTTTAAAATTGGTGGCTGGACTTGTGCTGGAGGGATTGTAAGGTATTGCTGGAATGTTTCTATGTTAATAATTCTCTTCCACTGCACAGTGAGGTACTGTAGAAGCAGGCTGTGCACAAGTGAGGTATGTTGATTATAAAAATGTTCCATTGATATCCACTACATGAAATGTTAGCTTAGTTATTCACAAATTGCAGTCAGTAAATTATTTGAGTAAGAGAAATACAAATGTGCAGCATGTTTACTTTTTTAAACTATTTGATAACATTTGATTAAAAAATGCAGATATGAAGGGAGTATCTCTTGGGATCCTGACCATTGATCCTCCAGATAAAATTGATAGTTAACTTCATTGACTGCTTGTAGGACATTTCTGTGCACAAATTGGTGCAAATACACAGATTACACTTTACAATAAAATTCTGTGAAGAGCTTTAGGATATATTGGCAATGTGATAGAGAGCTATATCGAATACAAGAATTATTATATTCACACAGAGATAGTTGTGTATGTCACATTCTCAGGTAAAATATTTGTTTTGCATATAATATCAAAAAGATGATCAGTATCAGAATATATATTACATTAGAACTCAAAATTAAGTTTGATCCAAAGAAACTATGAATGAAATGTAAAATACATGCAAGTGCCAAACACACATTAATGTTTATGCTTTTGTATCTATGTATGGCTACAAAGAGACATTCTTTATAGCCTTCGACAACAAATACAGTCTCAACACCTCACAGAAAAACTGAAGCACTTTGAGATGTTTCGATGTGATAAGATGCTACATTAGACACAAAGATTATTATTATTTACCTCTGAGTTCTATGTGCATTGGTATTTTGGTACAAAGTAGCCATGGAGGTGACTGGAACCATAGGGCAGTCAGGAGGTGTGCAAATGTATGGAACATGCAGGGAAAGAGGAGGAACTAGCTTTTTTGGTTTGATAAGTTGCAGTAAACTGCTGTTTGAGGCATTCTTTCAGTTTATTTCTTATTTTGCTGCATCTTCCACATTTTCCACATCAACAAATTATGGTTTGCGGTTCTATGTGATGTTTGAAATGGGAGATAGGTGGAGTCAGAATTGCAGTGCATTTAAAGTAGACCTTGTGATCTTTCCTGCAGTGATGGGCCTTTAACAGTTGTTGCATTACTTCAATAACAATTCGCATGGCACCTCATCACTTCTCTTTGACCGAGCCTTCAGCTCCCCTCTCGACTCTCTTCCCCTCCTCGCTCCCTCCCTTCCCTCCCCTCACCCTGACCATTTCCCCCTCCTCGCTCCCTCCCTTCCCTCCCCTCACCCTGACCATTTCCCCCCTGCTCGGGTCATGACCCAACTGTGCAGCGCCTTGGGACGTCCTCCTGACGTGAAAGGCGCTTTATAAATGGAATCTTGTTGTTGTTGTTGTTGTAGTTGTTTTAAAGCGCTTCACAGCTGTAAAGTGTCTAGATTCATTGTATTTTGGCAGTTAAATGTGACAGCCTGTTTGTGCTAAGCAATGTCCCACAAACAGCCATGGAATGAGTGACCAATTTCTTATTTGGCGGATTGTTGACCAGGACACCAGGAGAAACTCCCTTCTCTTTTCAAATTTTACTCCTAATACCCATGACTTATGCCCGAAATTCTTATTCTGTTTATTGCTTCTGCTTTGTTCCATTTGAGGGAGCATTTTGGCAGATGTCATAACTGACAGCAACAGCCTGTGTACTCCATAGAATTTATAATACTTACAATGCAGGATTGAATAGTGTTGTCAGTTTTTTTTTGTACAAAATAATTCTTTCCGGGGGAAATTACCACGTCTAAATAGAATACTGATGGTAAGATTTTGAAGTTTCTAAATACAGACTATTTTAAGGATTGTAATTGCCACATGTGTGTAAGTGGAAGACAAGTTTGGATCTAATAATTTATGGTTTACCATCCCTTTAAGCTATTCTGTATCCTAGACTGAAAGGGAGAACAAGTGAAACCTGCTGTGTGTACTAACTGTATATCGCTTAAATTAATGCTCCAAATTTGCAGTATTTGGAGTGGGATCTAAATGTGATATCAAAGGTTTGAGGCATTCTTGGGGTGTCCTCCCAAAGTGAAGGGGCTTCTACAAATGTAATTTGATGTTCTTTGCATAGGTCACTCTGTAATCTCTGCACTGCGTTTATTTTCCTCATTTGAAATAGAATTTGACGTCCATTGGTTCCCTCATCCCCCATACTTAATACTTAATGAAAGAATTCACAAGTGTGAAAAATGCACACACTAGTGCGCAATCTGTAAACAACACCATCTCTTTTTATGTAAGAACAGTGTAGCTTTTCTACCTGATTTTTCACCTAAACTGATATGTATTTTCAAAGTGACTTTTTAAATTGTGGTCGTTATAAGCAAATAAATACTGCCAAATAAACAATTTTTAATTGTTTTACTGGGTATAAAATAACATACAAGACAGTTTATTTCCTTACAGATAACTTGCAGCAGCTATTCTAATGTATTCAATCTCTCTGAAATGATTATGCATTTAAATCACCATTTACTGTGTTTTTTTTTTGCAGAGGTGCCACTGCAGTGCCCAGTCAAAGCCATGGTTTGCATAAAGGTTTGGTGTATTTTATGGATGGGAGCTCTGATTTCCCAAACACAGGCCTATAGTGATTTCTTCACCTCGATCGGTAAGCATGAATTTCTTTCACGTTTGTTGCTATTATTTTGGAAATCTCATATTTAACCCAAATTTGAACGATGGACAAAAAGGTAAGGTTGGGACTTCAGAAAATAAAATTTAGGGCTACAATTGCTTTCCCTCAGAGTCTCTCTTGCACTCCAGGTTTTAACTCTAGAGACAAACTTTTATTAAAATTAGTATTTTAGTGCCATTTCAGTAAAATTGCCGTAGTGGTGCAGTATTAAAGGTCCAATATATGGCATTACAGAGAGGTAGGCAAACAATATCATCAAAACATTTTTGGTGATATTGTAAATCCAAAATGTTTCAGGTGCTCATTCTAACTGAGAAAGAAGTATTGCAGTGCTAATGTAGGTTAGGAAAGAAAAAAAAGTGATTGCCAACATATGGAAATTGCCAAGTAAAACTTTAAAGCGTTGTAATTCATAACAATAGTGATTTAGTTTGGCATGAAAGTGCTTTAAAGTTGGGTTAGGGACTCAAATTGGGTCTTTAACTCCCGACTACTGGAATTCCTTTAGTAGAAAGAATAAGAAACAAGTAGTAATTAAAATTATGAAAATCTGACATAAAAACAGAAATGTTGGAACTCACAGGAGTTCAATCAGTGTTTGAATGAGAAACTTTGGGTATACCACTTTATCAAAGTCTGTTTTTCAGTTTTCAAAATATAGGCTTGCCTCCCTCTTTATTAAATTAATCTGTAAATCAAGTGCTCCAGGATGCTACCCCACGTGAAGGGTACTATATAAATGCAAGTTGTTGTTGTAAAACCATTTTCTGAATTATTCTTTGAAATGTAGTCATGTTTTGAATCAATTTAAGACTTAACTAATAAATGATTTCTGGTAAATGTCTTCTCTAAATCTCTCTTCCCTTCAACAGGACACATGACAGACCTTTTATACACTGAAAAGGATTTGGTAACCTCACTGAAAGATTACATCAAGGCTGAAGAGACCAAACTTACTCAAATCAAACAGTAATCCAGTTTCTTGCTTTCATTTCACAAAATGCATTTCCCTTGATTTCAAAACGTGGTTAAGGTACCTATTTACAGGAAGATTAAAAAGCCAGGCAATAAAATGTGACTTACATACCCAGGTTCACGGATCATAGACCCTTCATTAATGAAATTGCAAGAAAATAGATTAAGATTAGTCCTGTTTGTAGCTAAACTTAATTCATAAGTTTGCACTTGAGATCATAAAAGTCACCCGAGTTCATCACCAGTCTTATCGTCTTCCTGCAGCCCCCCACCCCCCACCCATTCATACATGGTATATTGAATACTGGGCAAGGAATCTCCACTTCCTACAACATGCATAGTTTTCTATTTGAAGTATGGATCAAGGACAAGAGCAACCAAATTACCCCTTCCCCACAAGTACTGTAGTTCCCCCAGCCTTAGATTCCAACTTGAATTTGTTAACAAAAGAAGGGAGAAGTTAGAGTGAATGTATTCACTCAGAGTTGTTAGGTTGTGGAATTTCTTATTACATACGGTAAGGCATGCGTCAACGTGATAAAGCTCTTATCAAATCAAGGAATATTATTATTGATGTGGATCAATAGAATTATTCAGAAGGGAACTGGATGAGCACCTCACCAGTAAAAAAATTTTTTTTAAAAATTAAGGGTTATAGAAAAAGAGGTAGAAAATGGGATTAATAATATTAAAAAAGGTAGTAGTACATTGGCCAAATGGCCTCCCTTTGTGTAGACACTATCTTTGTTCCTATCAGAGGTTAATTATTGGCATACCAAGACTGTGTAGTAGTCCACTGACCCACTGGGGGTGCCTGGTAGTAAAGTATAATTTTAACCGAATCAATAAAGCTTTTATTAGTTCCTGCAATAAATTCTTTTTCATCATCCTAGGTGGGCAGCAAAACTGGATGAACTTACTGAGATGGCTACAGAGGATCCTGAAGGGTTCCTTGGACACCCAGTGAATGCTTTTAAACTGGTCAAGCGATTGAACACTGAGTGGCAGGAACTGGAGAATTTGGTCCTCAAGGATATGTCAGATGGTCAGTACTCAATCTTTTAGTTTCAGTTCCATTGATTGACAATTATCTGGCCTCCACAAACCATTTGATCCTATTTTCTTTCCTGTTTTGTTTAATGATCTGCATTCTCTCTATTTTTGTTTCTTTCATTTTTTTTTCTTGTGCTTGTGTTTTCCTCACCCACCCACTTCTTCAACCACACACCTCCTGAGCTGAGAGCAGGGCCTTCTTTCAGGTATCCACCAAGAGTGCCTTTGTCAGCCTTCAGGCAGGAGAGTTGAAAGAGCAGCCTGATATATATTGTCTTTCCTGTTCCCTCACGGTTTGTACCTTCATGATTTAAGAGCAGGAACTCAGATACTTGAGACATTGGGTCTGTGTCACTAGTGTGTGATGCCATTGTATTTAATGTAGCCAGCCTGGAGCTGCCAGGCTCAATTTTGACTTCTGGATAATAATTGCTTTTTTGGTATGTGTGTCTACCATAATATATGGCAGAGAAGTAAACAGCAATGAAAGGTTGAGGCATTTTTGTAAATGGATCTACATTTCCACAATGTTTCCTGGATGGAATAAATCAATATTTTAATTCTGTTTCCCTCTTGTATCAAATGCATTTGATGAAGTGTCACATTAGTACTGAATAAGACCTTTGTAAAATCTGGTCTGGGCCCTGTAGAGAAATAATAGATGTCCAGTTTCGACAAATGAACAGTATTTGTCTTGTCTAAGAAACCTACACCACATTTTTTGTTTTGATCCTAATGTGTTTATGTTACCAGGTCTGTTCACCTGTAGTTCACATCTGTACCTCATTGTGTAATAAACTCCACCAACAACTGCTGAAGTTCATATTGAAATATTTATACAAAAATGCTAAGTGTTTCTAACTACGAAAGGGAAAATTGTAACTCAACTATACAGTAGCCCACAGTTTTACTGCATAGAGTTTTCAATAAAGTTCAATTGGCCGATAAATAGGTTATACACCAAAGAGCAGTTTGGACTTTTCATACTGTAAATTGAACGGCAACCTGGAATGTAGAAATGCAAAACGTAAAAAGATTAATGTCTGAATATTTCACTGATTTCCTAATCAATCAAAATTACAAATTTGGGCACTCATCTAGAATTTGCATTTGTTTGTTTGAGGAATAAAAGCGGTGAAATATTTTCATGGACTTCTTATTCAAATAGCGATTCAGGTAATGTCTGGCAAGCTGTGAAATAGACTTAGCAGCTGAGCAACGATAAATTGTTCATTTTTCAAACTTTCTTTATCAATGGTTTTTCTTGATGCAGATACAGTTGACTTGAAATGGGTGTGTTTACTCCTGAAAAGCATTCAAACACAAATTACTGTTGAGGTTCCCAACCATTGGTGTGGATAATACAGTGTTAGCTCACTTAAGCTACGTGAATGCAAACTACATACATAATTGCATAGTGGCAAAAGTCTGAAGTTATTCAAAGTTGCGCACAAGTTATCTCATGTTTTTATTTCTACTATTGGACAATTCTGTTTATACAAAGGACAATTATTGTTGGAATGTGATCGAAGTGTCTGGAAAATGGGCAGAGATATGAATGTTATTAAATGTGGGAAGAAGTTGATTGTTGTTATTTGGTTTGTAATATGAATCATATTGATGTCTTCACATACTGAACCAAGTAATATTTGGGTTTGATTCACTGATTTTTCCATTTACAATACATTTTGTTCTTTGACATCCTGTCGAACAATTAGAATCCAGGTACTTCCCAGAGGGAGTTATCCAGGATCCATGTTCTGCACACTTTCTAGTGACTCTCAGTGACTGAAAGAGCCTTGGTGCAATTCACCACCGCATCCATATATAGACTTCCCCATGACTACAAATTGTGCTGATCTCTGTCACTTCTGGGTGTAGGGTCAAAAGGAATGAGTAAATATGTATCTGTCCTATTGGATCTGAATCAAATATGTCGTGGAAAGAATCTGTGGAAGCTTCAGTCTTTAGCCCAGGCTTCTGTCTAGTAAAATTGGCACAATGAGAATAAATGACTCACTGCAATGGTACACCAAACCACTTTGCCAGAATAAGTTAGTAAGTTTCCCACATGTGAAAATCTGAGAATCAGTCAACCCTCATTGTTCTTTCCAGTTTAGTGGCATTCAGATTAAGTGAGGCATGAAATAAGACCTGAGATCCAATCTTCTGCTTATCATGTTGATCAGGACATATTTTAAATTCGTGTTATCAGCAATTTTCATCTGCACCTACCTTGGCAACAAAAGCACTATTGCCTAACGGGTTTGATTCTTACACTTGTTTTCAAATCCCTTCATATCCTGGCACCTTGGTACCTTTCTGACCTGCTTACCCCCCAACTGATTACTTGCTGCCTCCGCTCAACTGGCTCCAGCCTCCTGCATGTGTCTCTTATGTCCTCCGTTTAACAGTCGCTGGCCTCATTTTCAGCCACTTCACCCTGAGACTCTGGAGCATTCTTCCTCTATCCTTTCACCTTGCCCGTTTCTTCCCCATCTTCAAGTCGCTCTGGGATGCTACCTTGTTTGAGGGGCAGTAAATAAATGCAAGTTGTTGTTGTACTATTATTGACCCTGTGAAAGATTTAATTAAGGCTTTTAATCTTTTTTGATGCATTGCCTTGTGTGTTTCTGTGCAGGATTTATTTCAAACCTTACCATTCAGAGGCAGCATTTCCCTGATGATCAAGACCAGACTGGAGCGGCAAAGGCTCTAATTCGCCTTCAGGATACATATAAACTGGACGCAGACACCATCTCTCAGGGTAACTTGCCAGGTGAGCAACAAGTAACACTATTCTTGGGCAAAATTGCAAATTCATTTGGCCACTTAGCCAGCAAAACACAATACTGTGTGTAATTAGATTTTGCGATATGTTTTGTTCAGACCTATTGTTCCCACAGAAAATAACCTGAATGAAACAAACATCAGGAAGCTGTACTAATAGGTCAGCATTTTGCAACATACCTTTGTCATTGATGAAATTTTAGTGTTTTTTCTGGTCTAGAGGACTGAGTGTAATTTGTCAGTGCTTTCCTGTTTCATATAGTTAAACTGGCTGGCTGAGTACCTTTTTAGAGAATACTCATATCTAGAGGAGGGGAATTATCAGCAGTCAAGAGATGCTCTTTGCAGCAGGAAGTGCTTTCAATGTTGGGCTGGGGCTCAGAAATGTCATAGCTTAGTAGTTGCTAGATTTATAAATGGCACTGAATCACTAGCTTTGATCAGAGAGCCAGCCAGGCATAGGAGTTTTATTTAATATAAGGAATTTTCTTGAGATGAGAAAGACCATATTCCTCTGTGTGAAGCTGGATCAGCAGTATTTGAGGCAAATGTCAAACATGTTAGAAATCGTAACATTCATCATCAACTGACAAAGGATAAATATGCTGTACACTGTGGAAATAGCAAAAGTCACAGTATGAAATGGCATCATACTGCAGCACAGTGGAGCTTGGTGTGGTAGGATGTGTTCCTGTTCCGGCATTGCCCATTGTCCTCCATGGGAGTTATATTATTAGGGTGTTTTTCTTAGAGAGGCACAAAGTAAAGGCTAGAATCTTTACTGCACACTTTGGCTAGAAATATGCATGTGTGTGTGAGAAAGAGCAAATGTAGGAAACTGTGACATACTTGCTAGCATCAGTCATACAGCAGCTTTGGCAGAGTCCAGCGAGTAGATAGACATAAGGTTGCAAAATAACACTGACTGTATTGTAATTGAACTCACAGCTTCGACCAGCGTGGCTCTGTCAACTGAAAATCCTGACATAGGAAACTTTCTGAAGCTATTTAAATTAATTCACAATGCTATTTGATGGGTATAATATTTCTCCCCACTCCCCCCTTCTCATTATGTCTGTTACATCTTAAAAGTTGCTGAATCTTGGCTCATAGGTCTCTCCTCTTTCTTCCTCCCCCTCCCCTCGTATATTTATTCTCTGCTATATATATTCTACTAAATAGGGCTCGAGTATTTAAGGAATGTTGAGAATAGAAAGCTTGCATAAAAACATATTTGAATATCTTCCAGCAGTAGTCTCTTGAGAGAATGGATGAGGTATGACTTGCATATTAACACTTGTATATTCACTATCTATGGCTAGAGATCAATAAACAATCACTTTTTAGTATTTACTTTTGACTGGCGTAGTATGATTGACCAATACTTGTTACCAGAATAGTCTGTCAAGATTTACAGCCAACTGATCAAACTCTGCAGTGCTTTAATTCTGGCTGGTTGTTTTCTCCCAGGTGTGAAGCACAAAACCTCCCTCTCAGCAGAAGACTGCTTCGAGCTGGGTAAAATAACTTACTCTGATGCAGATTATTATCACACTGAGCTGTGGATGGAGCAGTCACTGAGACAGCTGGATACTGGTGAGATCTCGACCATTGACAAGATTACAGTGCTGGATTATCTGAGCTACTCTGTGTATCAACAGGGAGATGTTGACAAGGCTCTAGAGCTCACAAAGAGGTTGCTGAAATTGGGTAAGAAATTACAAAAATCCTCTACTCTTTTTCAGTTTTAGTGAATCTCTGTCCCCACACTCTGGAACTCTATCCTGCAATCGTTCCACCTCACCCCCTCTCTTGCCTCCTTCAGCTCTTGTTTAAAGACTCTTCAACCATACCTTCGGCCACCCTCCCACGCCCATCCCTCTGCCCTCCATCCTTCCTGACCCCAGCCCTGACTGTCTAGCACGCTGGGATGTCTTTCCGACGTCAGTGGTGCTATACAAGTGTAATTTATTGTTGTTGTGTCACACTATGTGTTGGCGTAAAACCTTTCGGCACTGAATTTCTATTATTTTTTTTAAAAAATTTAATGGGTCGAAATGGGATAATGTTAGTATTAGTAATGTTTATACATTGTTTGTTAGCTCTTTTTGACATCCAAGGGAGAAACAATTGAAATAATGGGACACTAAAACTTTTAACAATCTACTCCGGCCATTCAGCAAATGTGTATTTAACTTGAACCATGTGAGTTTTTTTACGTGAAAGCTGTAACACTGGCTTCATTTTTGTAGATCCTGAGCACCAGAGAGCAAATGGAAATCTGAAATATTTTGAGTACATTATTGCCCAGCAGAACAGGGACAACGAAGGGTTAATGCAGAGCACTAACAAAAGCATTACAACAAATGTTAAGAAGGAACGTATCAATAATGTGGCACCAGAGAGAGAGAAGTATGAGATGCTGTGTCGTGGAGAAGGAATTAAGTTAGTAAGTAAATGATTTAACTTAGGTGACAAAATGAATGATTTTCAGTCTGTTGTACTTTTTATTTTAAATGAATATTCCTTAATAAATGTTAGTTGTTGGGCAAGTTAACTGTGGTGGCAGTGAATCCAGCTGATATCAGCAAAATTCCACTGGCATAATTGTGATGATTTTACTATTTGATAACTTGGAGAATTTGTTTGAGTTGTGTTGACAACATGTACAGTATTTATTTCTGTCTGGTACAAGTTGGAATGGATCGGTAGCCCATTAAGTTATATAAAATGAGATATTTTATAATCGAGCTGCTCTGAACCAGAAAAATTTTGGTCTCCTAGTGATTACTTTTCATTACTTCGAGAAATTAAAGTAGCTTTTATGTCCTGTCCACAAATGAAATTTATGGATCCCAATTCCGTGATAAATATCATCGAAGAATACTGTAAGTTTAATGTTCTGCACACTGTGATTTAATAACGTAATTTGTACTTTAGGACCAATGAGGTGGAGCACCGTCGATGACCTTCTTGCACATTTCTTTGTTACTTACTATGTTCTTTTTAAAGCTGTAGCACTATCTACAGAGAATGTGTAAACATTCCCAAATTCAATTAAAAAAGNAAAAAGCATCAATAAAGCAAGAACTTGTAAATTGAATTTCAGTCATAAAAGCATTAAAACTATAAACTGTTCCATTTAATAATTCCATTAGTTATTAACTCTGGGTCTCACAGATTAAAATTTTATAGAAAAGGAGAGTTATGCTGTATAATAATTAAATGGGTGACTTTGTGTAGACTTTTTGCTGTTTGCGGAGGGATTGTTTTATTTGGATCCTCTCTCTTTATGGTACGTGATCTTTGACACACCAGGATGGCTTTAAGAAGGTTTTGTGTCAATGTTGTTATGTAAATTGTTCCCCCTATATGCTCCCTTTGTTGAAAATGAGTTTGATTTGCATAACATAATCCTGAATAATATTCCATTAAAAATTCCTTATATTGTTATATTCCAACAGGTTTAAAGTGTTGCTTAAATGTGTTTCCTTTTCTTTGCAGACTCCTAAAAGGCAGAAGAAGCTATTTTGTCGTTATTTTGATGGAAATAAGAATCCACAGTTCATTCTGCGACCTATGAAACAGGAAGATGAATGGGACCAGCCTCGTATTGTGCGTTTCTTGGATGCCATTTCTGATAAGGAAATTGAACGAGTGAAGGAGATTGCAAAGCCACGGGTAAGAAATTGGATTATTTGCTGGTACACAACAGGCCACTGTTGTTTTGCATGAAGCGCTCAACAAAATATAATTTTAAATGCTACATTGTTTCTAGTGCAGGCAACAAACATTGTGCTACTGATTTGCATGTTTGATTTTTAAAAAGAAACCTTTGGTCCAGTTATCATGTAACCTGATGTCCTAAACGTCATGAGCCTATCCCGTTAGTCCCCATTCTATGGGAAGTGTAAGCCAGGTGGACGTTAAAGATCCCATGGCATCATTCAAAAACGGAAGCAGGTTTATCCCAGTGTCCAAGCCAACTGTCACCCAAATAATATTGGTCACTTACTCGATGGATATTTGTGGGACATGGCTGTGCGCAAAAATTGGCTTCCGTGTTCAGCCACAAAATACACGCAGTCACACTACTTTACAGTATATTCGCTTTGGGACATCTCGATAAGCCACTATTTTAAATGCAAGGATTACTATATGCGATCTAGGAACAAAACATCAGTTTGGGTTGTGTTACTGTGAATCCACCGGAGCGTCCGTCCCAAAGCCATGGCTTTGTATTCTGGGAAGGTTCGCATTGGTCTTGTTTCCATCTTGTGGAATATGTTGGTAATATTTTTGTGTCCGATTGGTTGGCTCCACAGCTGAGACGAGCCACCATTTCTAACCCCATTACGGGAGTTTTGGAGACAGCTCACTACAGAATAAGCAAAAGGTAAGTGAGAGCTGTACTCAGCTCCTCTTCATGGTGAAGCTGCTATAACTTCATTAAACATGGCATACCAAAGAAACTGATCCATTCAATGTGGGCCTGGAAAAGTAGGTAACTACCTGGAGTTCTGTTATCGAGTTCTGTTAAACACTGAAGAATCACAAATGTGCACATTAGAACCTGTGTTTCTACCCTGAACAAGCAGCTCAAACAGACAAAATTACCTCGTTCCCCTGCCCAACTGAAAATTTAAATGCAATCCAATTTTAATAAGTGAAAGGATCCAAATTGGAATTTATCTCGAGATTTATTCCCACCCAATTCTTTTCTCTGACCAGCCGGAAGCTTCCAGAATTCCACTGCTGAGTGGAGGTTTAGCTGTTACCAGATTAAACCTATCCTTTCTCTTTCTGTAGCTGAGACGTGCCACAGTGCATGACCCTATGACCGGCAACTTGGTCTTTGCGAATTACAGAGTCTCCAAAAGGTAAGAGGAAGTTGTGAGGTACTCATTAACTGTTCAGTGACCTGGGATAGGTCCCTACACACCAACTGTGTGAGTTGCTTCATCACCTTTGTGCCTCTGTTGGTTTTACAGTTTGTTTTTTGTCAAACTATTCTAAATCCCTCTGAATTTGCATCTGGCTATAACTGAGAAAATAAGAAAATACTGAATTATCCAATGCCTGGAACAAAACAAGCAAACAAGGTATAGAACAACACTGTATTCAGTGCAGGTTAAAGCTTTTCATATCCAGTCACTTAATTGGTGGAAGTGAATTCTAATTGCAACTTTTGACAAGTGAAGTGAATGAAAGTTTTACACTTAACAATTTTTTTTTGTTAACAACTCTGTCGGTTTCTTTCATCTCTTATTCTTTCCAGCTGTTTTTCTTTAATAATGCCTTCCTGATTGTTATAAAACAACAATCTGCATATTTTAGTAGGATACTCATTTTGGTAAAGTTTAGGTGCATCTTTATTTACAAAAGTGGAGTTTTACTCGCTGACAGGTATTTAAAAATTGCAGCTGTCACACTTTAAATGCCTGTTTGCCTTCCATCCTGGGCATTCTGCACATATATGTTGTCTTACTTGAGGATTATTGTTTTGATGAGTTGTGGGATTGGGAACAACAGTAATTAGGAGACCACTATGAAGCAGAAATTTTAGTGTTGCTCAAAGTGATGGGTTCTGTCTCGCTGACTTTGTTTGTTGTTGCTTGAATGGCTTCTTTTCCTTCTACAGATTTCTCCTCCTGATGGTACTGACTCATTCTGGTACATGGTTTTGTGATGTAGAACGTTATCTAGAACATTGCCCAAATGACTGTTTGTCATGTTTGAGAGTGTTCTCATTACATAATCAGGTCTTTCCCTTTCCAGCAGAGGTCACTGCTAACAATTGGAAATGGTAAACCTGACTGCCTTTATTTTCTGTCCCTCTCTACCTAAGGGTATTGAGACCAATTTTAGCACCTTCACGGCTACCCCGACTAAGCTCAGCTAACTCAGCAGCTGAAAGATTGTGTAGCTCATTTTTACTGGGAAATGCATTTACCCACTGAACCACTGCAGATGTATTGCAAGGCCTTCTTTAAAACAAATAACATTATGGGAAATACTTTGTTTTTAAAAAGGCCAGCAATCTCAGTCAAGAGGAGAAGGAATATGAGGCTTGGTATTTTACTCACAGGGAGGAAAAAATGAGGAGGAGATAGAATGTATTTATTATTATATAATGTACTTTCACCAACAAAATATACAGTCAATTCACTTTACCGTATATTCTGTGAAGCGCTTTGAGACGTCTCAAAGATGTGAAAAGGCACTATATCAAATGCAAGGATTATTATCATCAATGGACCACTTCTTAGAGACCAGTTACAGAACAACATTGACGAAGGCCTTAGGGAAAAGATTGGCAGTTAGCCATCTGTAGTGTGGAACAGTGCCTAATGTGAGTAGGGGTGAAAGCACATATAAAATTCAGTAGTAACCAACACCCAGCTTTCATGAAATATTATTCCAAGGAAATTTTCAGGTCTAGGCCTTGAGTTTCTCTTTACAACTTTGCCAAATAAAATGTAGGTCATTCTTCTAAACTGAATCCAGATAGTTGAATGCCAGTCTCAGATTAATTACTGCACAATGGGTCTGCAGGATTGCTGATGCTGTAATACATTCAGAAATTTTATTTTTATTAATATTATTTTTTTATTTCAATTGAGGAATTCAAATTAGAGGAAGCAATGGCCTTCACAGTCAAATATCTTGCTGACACTTACTATTTAGGCTCAGGCTCATTAAGAACACCCACCAGGTTCAGTGACTTGCTGACGCCAGTGTACATATTCCAGCAAGAGTAAGGGTGGCAATTGGGAGCAAAATGTATCCAATGTATATTTTTAAAAAATCTAAAATCTTACTCTAGAAAACTTAGGTCCATGTTGTAAAAGCAGAACTTGGTTAGTTAGTGGAGAATCTGGAACATTTCCATGTGGTTCTTTTTCTTGAAGTGTACAGTAAGATTATAGAGTGTTACTGCAATGATGTGTGGCTCTGCTCAGATTGGACCAGCTCCAAAAATAACAGTTACAACTAAAGGAAAATTCATTTCAGTTCATAGTTGACTTCAGGAAGCTTGGTCTGTGTGATTTCTATTTTGTTCTTTCTCCCTGATTCAGTATTGCATAGAATCTACACTTTCAGGATTGTATCAATTCTATGCAATCCTGTCCATCTATGCAATGGACAGTATTGCATAGAATCTCTTCTGATGAGATGGTAGTAAGCATGTTCCTCCTTTTGAAAATAATGGGCCACTTGAGATGATTAGCAGCCATCAAACTAATTGAGGGGATTTAAACTAAAGTTGCTATGAGATTACTGCTCTGAATATAGTTCAAGGCACTGTTATGGTTAATTATATATTTTGATTATATTTTATATAATCTGCTAATTTGATGGGTTTGCGTGTGCATTGATTGTTGTTGAACATGTGTCTGTGTTAGTGTCTGTGCTTACTGCAAATTGATATCAACAATTTGTAAAGTTAGTATACTCCAGAAAATAAACATTTAGCATATATTGTACTTAAATCATAGGCAGTCAAAAGAAATTACTGGTTTCAAATTGCCCAAGAGATGTCATATTCTGATATGTGCATTTTAATATTAACTGTAGCATCAAAGAAATGATGTGTTCATCCAGGAAATAAATTTTCCTTGTCTGTTGTGTAAGAGGACGGAAAGATACCATATATTGTATTCAAGTTTGTAGAGGTCTTGGGTGATCAGGAGGAACTTTTGCAGAATATTCTGACTTCAAAAGGGAAGCCGAAAACTGACTAACTGTGACCTTGGGAGTTTTGTTGGTGTTGTGGAGGAAGGCTGGGTGTGAGGAAATCTGATTAGTACCACATGGTTTTATGAGATTCTATTGCCTCATGAATTTGCCCAATGTCATTAATACCATCCCCAAGTGTCTTACTTTTATCCCCTTTACTACAACAGCAACAACTTGTACTTATAGAGTGTCCTCCACACAGGGTAGCTTCTCAGAGCACTTAACAGTGGCAGAGCCTGACTCCGAGACTGGGAGAAGTCGGCAGTGGCTGTAAGCATAGTCGAATAGGATAGTTTTCAGGTGGGACTTGGGAGAGGGGAGGCAAGGCGGAGGGATTGAGAGAGAGGGTTCCAGTGTTTTGGAGCGTAGTGGCTGAAAGCATGAGCTCCGATGGTGGGGCGGAGGGTGCGAGGGACAGGTATGAGGCCGGTCCCAGTTGAGCAGAGGCCCCGGGTGGTGGATTGGGGAGTGAGAAGGTCGGAAAGGTGCCACGGGTGTGAGGATCTTGAAGTTGAAACTCAGGGTTTAAATTCAGGGGAGTGGTATGTACAGAGGCATGAAGTCAAATGCTAAAGCAAATGTTATAGAAAAAACTGAAGTGAAGTATGAGCTGAAGTGAAAAGTTACCATTAAGTGAAAATGTAGACCTTATCCCTCATCACCATTTGATAAAGTTTGTTAACCTAACAAGTTTTCTGTCTTTTTAGCAAATCATGTTAAAAGTGAAAGCAAAATACATAGAACAAATTAATGATAAAAAGTGTAGGATAGAAAACTTAACTTGAGTACTATTCTCGTACGCAGACTGAGGCAGTTCTTCACAGCATTCTTTGTATTACATTTTTAAAAGGGTCTCAAGTATGACCTCCTCTTGCAAATAGAGGCCTGCGTTTAGTTGAATAGGTTTCTGGAATTACTATGATAGGAGTTACTGTATAATTTCTTTATAAAGATTATTTGAATGTACTCCACTGATAGTATATAATCCTATTCCTTCATGGTGGTTGGCCTGTGTGGATGGTGTGCTGCACATACCTTTCTGATAGTGAATAATTTAGCCTTGTGGCATAATGGAGATGGCATGTAAGAATTAGATCAGTTGATGATTCAGCCTTTTCTACTGCATGTTCTTTTGAAGCACGAAGTTGAGGGGAGTTCAAAATCCATGCAGACCAAAGAAATGTGTTAAACAGATATGATTAGCTGGGATATTTACGAGAATTTTAGCTTTTAATTGCAGTTTCAGTTTAGTCTTGATCACAGACAGTTTTACTAAATATACATCAGATGCAGGCATCTGATGTATATTTAAGGAATATATATATTCCTTTTTAAGGTTGAACTGCTTTTTTTAAAAAAAAGACTTTTCCCATTCCCCACCACTCTAAGCCTGCATGTAATTTTCAACTTGTTTGTGAAATATAACTGCACTTTCCTTCTCATTTCCTTCTCATTGGATCCTTTACTTGTAAATCTTCATTCTGGTTTTGCTAATGGAAGTTGATATTCAATTATTCTTGTCAAAGATAGAATAAACCTTTGGTCATTTTTTTTAAAAAAATGTTCCATAGTTGATGAATCCTGCCTGCATATTTATTTGTCATTTATATGACCACACAAACCTCAGGTTCTGAAACCAGTTCAAAGCCAAGATAATTAAACTTTTGATTGTGTGCGCATGTTTTATTGCAAAGCATACATACTTTTTTTAAAAATTTCTGTTCATCAAGGGTTCTTTCTCAGTGGTTCCAGGTATCTGGATAAGACCAGTTTTCAGTAATTTAGTACCTCTAAAGTTCCTCTTACAAAGTATTTATTGTATTTGATTTGTGTTTTTAATGAAATGTGAGATTATTTTGTTCTGTTTGATTTGCATATTTCCCACTTCTACAACACTAGCCTGATTGTCAGAATAGAAAGACAAATACAACATGTTGACAAACTATCAAGTACTGATTGAGCTTATACTTTTCAATTTGTTAAAATAGAATATTTGTTGTCAAAAGTTTGAGGACCCTTTGGGTTATGATACTGTCAGCGCTTTGGGAGGTCCGACATGAAAGACACTCTACAAATGTAATTTGTTGTTGTTGAAATGAGCTAATGAGCCAACAGATTAACCCTTAAAGTATTACAATATTTCCCGATTAAACCTTTGAGCTAGTTTTCTATTATTATAAAAACAAATATGCCAATTCAGTGTATAAAAGCTGCAGTGTTAATATAGTGGTCTATTAAAATTGGTTCAGTTAATGAATTTTCAATTCCATCACAGCTGCATATGTCATTTTAATTATCTGAATTATTAAATGAACTGCAAGCCGCATAATAATGGAAGCTTTATACATTCAATCTCATGTTCCATGATATGTTCCTGTATTCAGAAATGGCTGTTCAAACATGACTGGACTGACTGTTTTCAAAACTATAACTGCTACATTGAAAGATTCTTTCAGATTGCGAGCATTACTGGAAATCACAGCATGTTTCACCTTTATTTTGATACTGAGACTGAATGACTGTTGTTGACCTGGAAAGAACATGTTTAAAGTTTCATAAGAGACTGTAGCATTGTGTTGGCATACATTAAGTGCTTTATGACTGCAAGCATTAGTTTGTTTTGATCTGTTGACTGAGTTTAATGACAGATTAGTGATAAGGTTTTCACTATAAATGGGTGGTGTTCCATTGTGACTCATGTGGTTATGTGCAAGTATTTTACATGAAATTTGAAACAATTTAATTATAAATTAATTTGTTGATCTCTGACTTATTTGGTAAATTCCATTGTAATTGGAGAAATTCAACCCATTAAAATTATTTTTTGGAGATTTCAATGTAGTTCTGAAAAAAGACACAGAAAAGGGATGCAAATAGAGATCCACGTGGATAATTAAGATGATTCAAAACCAAAGAACAATGAATTCTTCATTCCCAATATTCTCAAGAAGCTGTATTCTTTGTTTTGAGTCATAATACTGTAGTTTTTAAAAGGTTAATTCTCATAGCTCTTTCATTGTACACTCTGGGTTTCCTGAACTATTCATATTGAGAGCACATATCAAACACTCAGACATTTATTGGACTAACTTAAGCAAATTGTTCTACATCTGTTCAGTGCTTGGCTGTCTGCATATGAAGACCCAGTGATTAGTCGTATTAACCAGAGAATAGAAGCCCTCACAGGGCTTGACGTCTCTACAGCAGAAGAACTACAGGTAGGTCCTGAACTGATATGTGTATATTAGAGGAATGAAGTATTGATCTTCCACCAAAAAAGTACTGTAGAAATTGGGATTTTTTTTATATGTCTTAAGACATAAAGAGTGGAACATTTATTTTTCCCTTTATAGTGTTCCGAGTGCTCCTGTGGGTTTGTTATCTGTAGCACTTTAAGCAATATAGACCAAGGAGCTGTTCATGTATAGCACTCTCAGGGTTTAAAATGATCTGATTTTTTTTTCAGCCAAATGGATGTGTTTCCTCATATTTTCCTTAAATTAACTTTCTAAATTAGAAGGCGCTACACAAATGTATTATTTCTCTGGCACTCAATGAAACAGCTTAACATAACGAAAGATGTGCTGATAAACTGACACTGAATACTCAACTACAATAATTCCTGACAAAATTGAACCATTTTCTTCTTCACATTCTTTTCTATTTATTCCAACTTCTTCCCCATCGACAAACTTAGTTTCCTTAGTTCCTTCCAGTACCATCAGTAAAGTTCTTTTTGGAAAAAAAGCTTTTAATATGACTTAAAATCGTTTCATAGGAGCAGTTTGACTGGTCAAGATCTAAAAAGTGATCATTGCCACAGAATCATCAATCTAGAAGAAAAGAGAACAGAAAATGAGTATCAGTACTCGCTAGCAGATATAACCAGCAAACTAAGCAATGATCGTTCATATTTTTCACCCTTTCTCATTATTTTCACCACCACATGGAATACATTAGTTCCGCTTCATGCCATATATTTTGCACAGATTTGCTTCCTTGTATATTGCCAGTCCTCTAGTTTCACTGAAACTTCCAGAAAAGTGATTCACCAGTCAAGTAAAATGTTTTTATAAGAAAGTCTTCCACAACATTGTCGCAGATTGTTCAGGTCATGCAACAGAAACCTTTGTTTGTGAATAGACCATTAAAACATTTTTAAAAAGTATTTCCGAATAGCCAGGATGTCTAGGTAAAGTTTCCCTGTCTCTAGTAGGTAAGGTTTGGGGTAGAACTTGCCTTGCCCGCTGTTTCAACTCCCTCAGGTGCAATTTGAGGAGTTTCCTAGTCTGTGCATTGTTGGCCTGCAGTGATCAAGTAGCACACTCATTTCCAACCTATTTTCTGATCTGCTGCCTTAAAGTGTCCGATCAACCTGCTCATATCGGATAACTTACAGTGTAGTTTTGATTTCGGCATTCCACTGTGGAGCTAAAAACATATTTAACCCAGAGAGATGAGAATTCACGTGAGCTTGTACAGAACTAAGGTTTGATAGCCGAGTTATCAGTGGAGTTCACTCTAACTTCAACAGCTGAAGTGTCAGACAATTTTACCCCTATATCAATAGCTAGGATAATAAGTGTGGTGATAGAATCTCTACCTTTCTTTCAGATGCCCTCTATCACACTTTGCATTACAGCACCTCTTGGCAACTGTTGCTCCTTAGCAATGAGATCTCTATTTAAAACAACATCTATTTTTTCTTCTGTACAGGAGGGCTCCTCTATTATTGTATATTTTTTCTCCAACAGGTCTTGCAATGTCAGTTAGGTTCTGTTGGTGAGTCTGTCCCCTTCGAGTTTATACAGTGTATATCTAATAGATTGTGTTGGTGACTGAAACTGAAATAGTACATTTTGTGGTGCAGATCTGGGCTCAAAAGGTTAGATACAATGATTTAATATATAAGAAAATCAAACCAGCACCAATTTACTTTTGTTTTAAAGCACAATGTGCATGAATTGTGCTGCACCCATTAATAGATTATCACTAAATAAATTTGGGAGAAAGGGATAATTTTTATCTCCTGAAAGTTGCATCATAAAATTGTATTTCATTGGATTCAATATAAATAAGTATAAATCTTGCTTTTTATACTGATTAATAAATTGGATTTAAAGCCATTTTTGAAGTAATGCATTCAACATTACCAGAAGTCTCTCGTCAATGCAACAAGAAAAACATTCATTTTAATAATAATAATAATGTCTCAAAGCACATCTCCTGAACAGACAGATAGGACCTCTGTTTAATGTGTCATCCAAAGGATGTTATCTACGATAATGAGCCCTCTTTCAGTGCTGCGATGACAGCCTACATTTTCAGCTCAAATCCTGAACTCACGACTTTATGATCTAAAGTCACATTTCCATAGTTTGAACTTCTAGAGTATGTGCAGTGGTTCATTGTTACTAGGATAAAATATGATCCAATACCTTTAGGGTAGAGCCTAATTTTAATTTAAAAATCAATTTTGCATTGATTTGGATTAAAGTTTTATGCACAATCAGTTGAGCGACCTGGGATGTTAGCACAATAGAAAACATCAGTCTGTGAGTAAAAATACAAATATAATTTTACCAGCTTCATTTTTATTCCCTGAGAGTGAGAAAGTTTTGTACTAAACCATGAGTGATTTTCAGCACCGTACCTATATTTTGAATGCAAAGTGAAAGATCTATATGCAGTAATAATCGTAAGTATGTTTTGATCCCTAGCCTAGTTCTTGAGGTGTCATTCCCCAGTCTGTTCATGTATATTTCAAATGCTGTAAAGTCCAGCTCAAATATTGAATCAACATCGATTTTTAGCTTTGAAATTATTGCACAAAAACAATTTTTAATTTTGAGATTTGACAGGAAATGGAAACAAATCTTGAAAATGAATGGAAGTTTATTTATCTGGATTTTAAGGCATGTCAATGAATGTTTTGACACACACCAAAGCCAAGTGTTGAAGCAGTCACTTAATATATGCATTATTTCATTAATTATTGAATTAAATTGTAACCTCATTACCTGAGACTATAACCCAGGAACGCCTGTGGAATTGGAGTGAAAGTTCTAATTTCAGTTTAAAGACTCTTTTGAATAAACTACACTGCTGATATGCCATTTAGCTCTTAAGAAAGCTTTCTTTTGACTGTGTAACAGTCCTATCTCTGACTTCTCATTTTGCTGTAGGTGGCCAATTATGGTGTTGGAGGCCAATACGAGCCTCACTTTGATTTTGGACGGGTAAGTTGCTTTCAAATTATTATTTAGCTTTTTCCTTCTTCATTTGTTTCTTTCAGGTGGCTAATTATGGCGTGGGAGGGCAGTATGAGCCCCACCATGACTTTGCACGGGCAAGTAGTCACAAAAAGCTGCAGCTATTGCTGTGTTTTCAGCTTTTTAATGGGTGTGCACGAATGGAATAATAATCAGTAACTGTGCATGATAACGGTGCTGTCTCATCTGAGAAAGTCTCCTAGTTGATCAATGCATATTCAATATTTTGCACTGCATGATTGGTAGTTGGCTTTTGCAACAAATTTCAGAAGCTTATGCATTAGCTTCAATGTTTCAGACCTAAAGCAATATGCTTGATTTGGAGAGGTAAGTTTTCACGTATTTTCAGTGGAGGGAAGGAGAACGCCTATTATAGCAAAGGAGAAGTTCAGAATTCAAAATCGATTTTAAAAAAATCAATGTCTATCAAAAAATTGTGTGTATTGATTTATTGGAAGTAATTTGATTTTTGTTGAATTTGATGACTCTGTCTTCACATGTATTAAGTTCTTCAGGCAATTTTTGTTCAATGTTAGTCAGTCCCCAATTTCAAGAAGTGCATATGCTGCTTGGATCCTTTTCAGTGAATGACCAACTGATGTTTAGTGGTGGTTGACTGGCCTTACGTGGTTTTAAGAAGTAGCTAGCCAAAGCATCAAAGATTGCCATCAGCACTGAGTTTACTGAAAGGAATTCTTGCAGAATAGCTTTGCTTCTCCAGGTGCTACATCTGTTTTATCAATTTAAAAAAACTTCCAACTTCCAATTCAAAGAATAGAGGACATCAATAAGAACTATATCAGCCAAGTTATTTTCTACTTCCTATGCCAAAAGGTTGGAAAGAAGGCTTTTGAGATCTTCTAAGCTTTAGACTGCATTTCCAGCTCATACTGTTAGACTTTGAGCCTCTGGACTTTGCACTGACTTTAATGTCATCAAACATTTGAGATGTTATCATAAATGCAATCTCCCATTTCAGTAACATTGACTGGTCTGTCAAGAAGTAAACCCAAAACAATACTTTCAGATACACTGAGACAGCAAAACAAAAGGAAATGGTTTAGGGTTGCAAAGGGCGGAGAGTATTAACACTTGGAACAGGTTGTCAGGAAGGATGGTTGAGGCCAGGACATTGAGTGTAGAAATGAAAGAAATGTAATATAGAATTACATTTTTATGAATCCATACTTAGAAATCCTCTAGTGCATTATATTCAACTTTGCTCGATATTCTAAACTTTATATATCTTGTCTAAAATTAATGCACTTGAAGGTTTAGCAATATTACTGTACTTTAGCCCCAAGGAGCAAAATTTTGTTTAATGAATAGAAACTGTTACCAGTTCTGAAATACAAATATCACGAAGTAGAAATTAGAATTTGGCTCCCACAAAAATTGCCACAAAAGAAATGTAAGAAAGTAGTGCAAGGGTAGTCAGCTGTTTACTCAATGCATGATTAGAAGATGGGTTTCATATTGTAGATTCTAATGCAATGATTAATCTCTAAAGGCTACATTGGGCAATGCATTTATTATTCAATAATGGAATATGTATTATTGCATTTTCTACATAATGGAAGTTATATTTCCTTGAATTGCCACATTACTAATGTTCTAAAGGGCAGTATTATACCTTGGGATGTCCTCTAGATATGAAAGGTGCTATAAAGATGTAATTTGTTGTTGTTATATAGCTACCTGTCTGTCAATCCACCTTCATTCCTGTCTTCTATTCTTTTTAAATCACAGTTGTCAAGCAGTCTGGGAGCAGATACTTTGTGGCTTCTCTTTTTAAGTGATGCTATGAATGGAGACAATTATTTGTGAGAAGCCCTTTCAAATAGTTTAAATGCATGAAGCAAAAGAACAAAGAATACTGCCGAGCATATGACAACCTTCCTTTCTAACATAGAATCATAGAATTATACAGCATAGAAGGAGGTCATTTGGCCCATCATATCTGTACAGGCTCTTTGAAAAGAGCTATCCAAATCAATCCCACTCCCCGCTCTCTTCCCATAGCCCTGCAAACTTGTCCTCCCCAAATAATTATCTACTTCTATCTTAAAAGTTGTTATCAAATCAGCTTCCACCATCCTTTCAGGCAATGCATTCCAGATCCAAACAACATCAGTGATTTATGTGGCAATTTTTGTTCTAAGGTTTATCTTTCCATTGTGGTTATTGTATAGAAAACTGACCTGATTTCATTCATGATTCTGCTTGCTCCATGCTCTGCTATTAGGAAGATGCCAAAACTTCAATAAAGATCTTAGTATTACATTACATAACAACAGAAGCTTTTATAACATTTCTTTTATAGAAAGATGAACCAGATGCCTTCAAAGAACTGGGCACCGGTAACCGAGTTGCTACCTGGTTATTTTATGTAAGTAAAACATACTCCAATCAATTTAAATTTAGTGATGCTCGCGGAGCTGGTTTATGTCAATTTTTGTCAGGGGTTTGAAACTCACAAGCTTGATTTGTGAATGATTTTTTTGTAAAAATCACTATTCTGCTCACGCAATTTCTGATTCCCCAGCTTAACTTTTTTTTTATATTAATGCCACAGTTTATTGATGGTGCAGTGTGCTGTTGTACGGCACTGATTTCTATTCTTGATTCTGTTAATTACGGTTTCTCAATCTCTCCTACTATTGGGCATTATGAGACTAGGTGACTTCTCTAAGGTGTGACATTTGAGGGCGAATCACCCCATTCTCTAGATGTGCACCTCTTACCTGCAGGTTCACTGCCAGACCTGGGAGCAGGTTACCTCTTGAATGTAAAATGGTATATAGCCCAGGAAGGTGTTAAATGGAGAAAATGAGAGAGGTGCATGAGTCAAAAATAGGATTTGTCAGTTCCAGGTAGAACATTTTATTTAGGCTTTTGTCTGGCTGTAATTTTGGTTGCCCATGCACATCTGCATTTGCTTTAGCATCTCAGCTAGTTACAATGAGCTTCCTGACTCTGCATTCTTTTAGTGCAGCAACATCTTTTTTTTACTATCCAGCAGTAAATTTGGCTGCCGGTTAGTGCCAGGACCACTGATCGTGTATCGTCTTTCAGAGGAAAGCTGAAATCAGGAAACTCAATTACAGAATTTGGCAAATAAAAGCAAACATCTGCCATAGAGTCCAGTCTGTTTGCTACTGATAATACCTTGTGTAAGATTTATGTTGCCAGGTAAGCAGCTTCATATCCGGGGTTGATTGGCAGCCTTGATATTCCTGTTAGTTAATCTAGGGAATAGTGTAGACAACAGCTCAAACCTTTCAAAGTGTGAGCATATTACCAATGGCATGGGGAATTTTGTATTGAAATTTTCGATTTGGATCTTAATGGCTAAGTAGAGAGATGTGGGATGAAAAGTCCACGGATTTTGCTTACGTAACATTCACAAATTGTTGGATAAGTTCCAATGAATTGGCAGTTGACAAGGTCGAGGAGTGTTTTTTCCTATTCTGTAGCCATTCCTTGTATTTTTACCCTAATTTCTTTACTTTTATTTGGTAGATGAGTGATGTGGCAGCAGGAGGAGCTACCGTTTTCCCTGAAGTAGGAGCAGCAGTGTGGCCACAGAAGGTACTGTCAGCATTTCTTTCACTCAGAAAGTCACTGACCATTGTAGCAATTTTAATCTTTCTTGCCATCAAATAATCTGAGAAAATTTAAGTATATTTAAATATTTAAATATACCTTCTTTAAGTCCTGTCTTAAAATCTACCTCTTCGATCGAGCCTAGAGTTACCACCCTCTTTCCTTCTCCCCTTCTTCGCATCCAAACCAATCTACAGTGCTGCAAGATATTATCCTATGAGAGGGTCTCTATATAAATGCATTTATAACTTAAAAAAAGGTCCATGTATTATAGACCTGCAATATTTCAATATACTTCCTTCAGGTTCAGGACAAATGTGCTTTTGAGGGATCTGTTAATTAGGATTAACTTAATATACAATATACTGAAGGACGCGAAGAAGGGGAGAAGGGAAGAGGGTGGTGACTCTAGGCTCGATCGAAGAGGTAGATTTTAAGGCAGGACTTAAAGAAGGTAATGATATTTGATGGAAACTAATAAGTTGCTTATTGGAGAGGACAAATTTGTAAGGCTATGGGGGGGAGTGGGATTAATTTGGATAGCTCTTTCAAAGAACTGGCATGGGCACGATGGGCCGAATGGCCTCATTCCCTGCTGTATGATTCTATAATGAAGAGCAGAATCTTTTGAGGTGAAGGATAAGCATTAAACGTTGGCGAGAGCACTATCATTGTGGAGTCCTGTAGCTCAGTGGTTAGAGCACTCGCTTTGCAAGTGAGAGACCTGAGTTCAATTCCAGGCAGAGCGAAACCTTGGGCAAGTTTCCTTACTCCACACATCTAATAATAATCCCTCCAAAACCAAAAAACAATAATAAAATTGGTCATTTTCAATCTACGACTGTTTGTGGGACATTGCTGTGCGCAATTGGCTGTCGCGTTTGCCCACAAATATACAGTCAATTCACTTTATAGTGTATTCTGTGAAGCGCTTTGGGACGTCCTCCCGATGTGAAAAGCACTATATCAAATGCAAGGATTATTATTATTATCATTGAATCAGGCTGACTGTATATGTGACTTTGTATATATAATATTAAAAGAACATAGTAGGATCTTTACCATGGTACAGTAGAGCCCCATTGTAATGAGGAAGTTGGGATCCATAAAATATCTAACCAGTTCTATAATGTGGCATGATCACTGGTCAATACTTTTTCATTCCCTGCACATGGTTGCAGAATTACTGCTAGCTCAGTTGGCTCTTCCAAGATGCTGGCAGAGAAATTCTGGGTATCGATGCATTGGGGTATTAATTGTAAACTCTGTTTAGAATGTGAACTCATTGTGCTGTTTGCTTATATTGCAGGGCACTGCAGTGTTTTGGTACAATCTGTTTGCCAGTGGAGAAGGTGATTACAGCACACGACATGCAGCTTGTCCAGTATTAGTTGGAAATAAATGGGGTGAGTACAGAGACTTTTTTTAACTCTTCAAGGAGGTGAAGGTTTGGATTCAATTATTTCCTCAGCCATGCTTCCTTTTCCTTCTGTACGAAGAGAAGGAACGTTCCACGTGTGGATCTCAGTGACTGGTTTCGACAACCCTGAGTATTGGAAGCAGATGACCTACTCGTGTTGTCAGCTGTAATTTGGTATGAGAGTGATGTGGGGTGACTTTTCCAATGGATCTTCCATTCATTATTCCTCTCTTATTTATGAAGTATTTTGTTGTTGTAGATTGATATGATATGCATGATATAATATACTAACGGCTCCATTTCTTATTTCATAGTGTCTAATAAATGGATCCATGAGCGTGGTCAGGAATTCCGAAGGAGATGCGGTTTGTCAGAGATGGATTGATGTTCTTCACTGTGAATGTGTTTATTCACATATGTGTTTTGTATGTGTGAGCGTGTGAGTGTGAGCATGTGTGAGTGTGTGTGTGTCTGTCTGTGTGTCTATGTGAACACCTTGTCTTTTCCCCACACCACTTACACTGCAGCTCAGTGACTGTTTACACTCTGTTATCATCACTCACTAACATTGCTCACCTTAGAGTACATCGGACAGGGCTAGACCTGCACACTTTTGGTTTCAACCCTTTCCCTCAACAATTTTTGTGGAAAGAAGACTGGGCTTAGTCTAGTTAGTTTAGATGACTAGAAATGTTTCTCCTTATCATCAGTCTTTCACTAAATCAACATTTTCCATCTATTCCAATCATCTGCTTTATACAAGCTGATATAATAGAGGTTTTATTTGATCACCTATAGCGGTGTACGTATTTTCAACCCTGATACCATTTTTAAGACTGCTTTATTGAATTTTGCATGTTCTTTTGAAGTGCATTGCTAAAGATTAACACTTTTGTTTCAAGGCATCCCTCAACTTTAGTCAAGCATGTGAACGTTGAATTCTTGCAGAAATTAGATTACTGTGGATATAGAGGTGTCCGTCGATTTGGCTCTATCAGTCACACAAGTATTTTCTTTCACTAAGAAAGCCATGATTTGGGTATCCAAAGCCTACACTGCTTGTATGGAAATATCTGAAACTTATTGCTTTTGAAAAAAAATCTTTGCTGACTAACACAATGATTCTTTTTAGATTAAAGTTAGTCATTCAGAGTGCCATGTTTACATCTAAAATGGCTTATTTAAGTAGCATAACTGTTTCTACTACCACATGTATGAGGTGTATGTCAGTAGTAAAGTGCTAAATGGTGAAATTTTGTGAGGAAATATCAATTTCTTCCAATTATTTCACCTTAATATTTGTGATTCTGTGTCACATGTTGCCAACTACTACTTTCGCTTATATACCATGTAATGTAATTACAATTGGAGCACGTAAATTGGATCATGTCACTGACAAGTTATTGAGCAGTATGTCAACAAATACACAGGAATCTTACCCAATATGAAATGTATTTGTGTAATAATGATAGTGTAAGATTACACAATCATATTCCCATCAGCACCATTAGATTTTCATTTTTAATGGACTTTGGTTAGTTTTCTTAGCAGTAAACTACTCTTGCACTTTGCTTAAGCACCTGTGCAATCCAATAGCATAGAAGCTATTTATTGCTGTTCAATAAATAGGTTCATAATTTGAAACGTACACAGATTTTTCTATATCTACAAATCCAGTTTACCTGGTTGATCAGGAGATAGATAATCACTGGGTAAACGTTCAAAACTAAAATTGTAAAATCGAATGGTTGCAAATGAAAACCTCTGCACTGTGAAACGTCCTTGAAGAGTTGATGACAATAAATACACTTATCAACCTAGTGCAACAAACGAGTGCCGAGCAGAATATTTAAAAAAAACTCCTTTCTGTGCCATGAAGAGGGAGAATTTGTGTATTTATACATCTGTACCTTTTCTTAAAAAAAACACTCCTTCCTCTCCCCATCTCTGTTTTCTTAAAATATTTTTATTAAGAGCCTCATTTTGTATTTGATCATGTGCACGTTTTCCACAAAAGACTTCATGCAAAGACTGTCTCAGGAATGAAAACAAAAGCCAAAGCAGTAAATTTAAGGCAGCCAGTGCCAAATCTACCAGATCAACAGAATGTGAGATAGAAAAGTCTTTATTCATCCAGCCAGCAGCTCACAGCTATACAGACAGGCTTCAGAAGTGGAAAATGCCTTCTTACAAGAACCCAGGCTTTACCATTTTTAAAAAAATTGTAATCATGTGTTTGTGACCTCTCCAAGTTTACTTTTATCATGGGTACTTCATATCTAGATTAGAGATTCAATGCAATAATGAATTATTCATTTTTGTCATTTTTCAAGTCTAAGTTGTATCCCCCTCACAAACACCAGCTAAAGATTTTGTTTTTTTCAAAAACATTTGCAGAATCAGTGGCGTCTGTAAGATGTATGCAAATGCTATGTATCCCCCCCACCCCACCCAGACAATCTTACTGAGTGCTGCTCCTACACATTGAAATGTCATTGTTTTCCCTGATGTATTTCTCTGTTCCAATGTAATTTTTTTCATGTGAACAAGACTTTCAATAAAGACACTGTAGTGACAGTGAAATTCTTCATTTTAAATCACACTTGCAACTTTACGTATTTAACATGTACTGCTACTACAACAATAACTTGCATTTATATAGTGCCCTTTGCCCCAATCTGCCTTTGTTTGCAATTCAAAGCTCTTGAATTTTGTATTTTAAAACAAATTGGTGCTGTCAACTGCTCAGTATCAAATCTAAAAGTGTGACACATCAGTCAAATACCTGCAGCAAAGGAACACATGGTATCAAGAGTCAGAAACTAAGCCCACACAGGGTGAGACACAGGAAGCCTAGGTGGAAAGTATTTTAAACATCTCAAAAATGTAGAATGGACAGAATATTTTAATAAAAAATAATTCAAGTCATTTTGCAATTGCATATCAAATGCAAGGATTATTATAATATTGTATCTACATTGCATAAAAAAGGTAAGACTTGGTTAATTTTTATTAAAAGAGCTTATTTTATCTTAAAGGTTAATGTTATAATAATAAAGCTCTTGACATTGGCTATAATTGCAATGAAGCTCAATTCCTTGCCAAAAAGGTAGCAGAGTACAAATGACATTGTTTTTTTGATGGAAAGTGCTGACTGGATATTTCATCTATTCAAACTGCTTTGGCCTTATCAGGAGATAATACATTCACTTTGCACAGTATGTACCAAGGTCTGGTTCAGGTATTTTGTGTTTGACCTGTACAAGAATGCTTCAAAACTATTGAAGATGTAGATAGAGCTTTAATTTGTGATCGACCCAAGTCAGATTTGTTGTATTCATTTGCAACTTTCAACTTGCACAATTTGTGACTTGTGAGTCGTTTCCAATCAGCCGTTTATTTGCCAGCTTTCATTTCCTGACTTTGCCAATTTGGGATCAGTGATTTACTATCTACAATGTTCTGAAAATCAAAGTTGCCTACAACTAATCCAGTTTCCAAGTATTGCAAATTAGAATGACAGAGCTTCCAATATGAGTGGAGGTTTAGAGCATGAATATTTTATCTTGCATATTCAATAACATTTTAAAAGGGTTTTATTTTTCTTCTGCTAGTTACCCCTTCATCAATGCTTCTTGACTATATTTTTGGTTAACCCATTAATCCTTTGAAATTCTCATATTTCAAATTCTAGATTGTAGTCTTTCTTGGAGCTGATTGCCTTTGTGACATTTTGATCAGAAATACCCTAAAGCATCACTCATAGATTATGTATGTCACTTGTAAGGAATAAACCCCATATTCTACATATAATTAGGATGGCTCACATAATATTCTGTGTGAGCACGTTAAATATAGCTTGTACATGAGATACTCCGAGATGCTGGTCCTCGTAAAGGGCGCTATATAAATGCAAGTTGTTGTTATGTAATGGAGAGGATGCGTGTCGTAATTTGTCAAGTTCTAACAGCTCACAAAACATCAGCTGACACACTTATTTGTTTTAGTGATGCAGAAAGATTTAACATTGATTTTACCACAATACCCAACCAATCAGACCTTTTGTCTCTCATGTGATCCATCGTATGCTCTTGGTCAGGAAGCACATGACAAAGTTTCTGAGCAACTGGAATACTTATTGACTTGCTTGCAGCTCCTATTTTGAACTGTAAACAACCCTCAGGCAACTATGGCCAAATAACAACTTACCTTTATAGAGTGCTCGTCACACAGGGTAGCGTCTCGGAGCACTTAATATCAGAGTTTACTGATCAGAATCTACTAAAAAAAACCACACTAAACCGAATAAATGTACTGTTTACACTGTCAGAATGAATATTATAGAAGCTCCAGAACATGCCACTTTCAACAATTTGAAAGACACTTTGCCCATTTATATTTGGAATGGCAAGCAACACTGCAATGCTATGTAAATTTTACTACAGGAAAACTCACATAAGTCTGATCTGTTTAAATTGTATAATTGCCTAAGTCCTACATCTGTCCCAAGTCCCGCTTAATAGTTTATATTCTATGCAATTTGACATAACTCATACTTTGCATAAGTCACATAAAATGTATGGACCCAACTGATGCAACTTATGAGAGGCTTATTTTAGTAAATAAGTGTTTATTGTTCTTCCTGAAGTACTGACTGCAATACTGTTCAGAAGAAATATAGGACAAATAAATTGTTTAAAATGGGAGCCAAGCCCTCATAATAATTAATTTTGTTGTTGTTATTTGTGATTTTAAACGCAGTTAGCAGAGTTGGATTTAACATTTTTATTCTTGACAGAATTCATAATCTCAACAGTATTACTCCAGCAACCGGTAACTGACACATAGTTGGCAAAGTTGATTCAAAAAGGAAAAATACAAGATTATAATAATAATCCTTCCAATTTGAAATAGCGCTTTATCCTGTCTTCGATACGTCTCAAAGCACTTCACAGTATATACTGTAAAGTGAATTGAATATAAATTTTGTGGGTGAAACGAAAACTCATCTGTTAAAGTAAAGCTTCAAGGATGTTTTGGGAGTAATAAATGGGTCTTTGGTCAATGAGTTAAATAGTGCTGAATTTATGATAGTTTAAATTACTTTAAATACTTGCCTTTCAAAGTTTATTTGAACAGTTCTTATTCTTTATTGTGTTCTTGCTGTGGTACCAGTAGGGCTGTATCACGGTGTACTTTGTGCACCTTCTCACTCAAAACCTGTGACTCTTAATCACCGTTTGAAGCAAGCGAGTTCATTGCAAAATCAATCTGTACAAAGTGTCAAGGGAAGGGCAAAGCAATTTCGGGTGTTTTAGCTATATTAAAGTGCCACACAAGCCAGGTTTCAACATCAAGCAATGTATTGCATACAATGAGCACTCAATATTATCACTAACCTGAGTGCTGATATGCAAGCAGCTAAAGTCAGAACCAGTTGACCACTGGGCAGAAATTCCACCTGGGACTAGATTTACACCATCTATAAAATTTCAGAGCAGCCATAATTTAGCAAATCGTTGATTTCCGTCATAACTTTGAAGCTGTTTTTCTCTGATTCTTAAAAGAACTTACAGAAAATAGCTTCAAAATTACGACTGTTTAGAAATTGCCAAATTCTGGAATGGACTGGATCTGCAATTCTACATGGGGTTAATCTAGGTAGATTAACATATCTATTCAGTGTTTGCAATGTATAAACAATTGACCCCTCCATATCAGCATTCAAGCTGGTCCCAGGATAGAATTCCATGTTACTCGATGAAGCTATCTCCTGCTCAGTTTGAGAGGGCCTAACCTGGTAGATTTCAGCCGGGAGCGACAAGTTACCCAATACATTATCTCCTACAAAGTAGGAGCTTTACTTCTTACTTCCAAGTTCTCCTCTGACACTCATAGTATTTAAAGGTTAGATTGGTCAGTCATGCATGTATTCTATGTATACATTAATGATTTAGAATTTTTAAAGCACCTTTGTCCTTTGTTCAAATACTGAACCCTCATTAAGTTATTAATATTTAGAAACGTGGACTCCTGTTAAGATAAGGTAATAGCATGCCATTTAGGTGTTTAAAGTACATAGATAACTACAAGTAAGCTAATTAAAACTGTTTTAAAGATCGAATTCCAAACAAACCTCCACTTAATCTGACCTTTAGACTATGTAATAGCAGTGAGCTCATCTCAGATAAAGAGGTGAGGGCTGAAAGTCCAGCTTTGAGAGTAACTCAAGGGAGTCTGCTGCTGTGCTCAGTAACATACACAGCTTGTTCTGGCTTTGGTATACGATTCACTTTAATCCAACCCTAGTTTAATGCGATGGTAAGGATGCAGATAGGACTCCTGTTTGTGCTGTGCCTGACCCTTCCTGGGGTACACTCTGAAGAAGTCAACGCCACCACTGCAACAGATGACACCTCCTCCACCACCTCAGATTGGGGGCTCGGATCAATCCGAGACAGCTTTGAGACTGTCAATGGATATTTTGATTCATTCCTGGAGCTCCTTGGTGGCAAGAATGGAGTTTGTCAGTACAAGTGTCGATATGGTAAGTGGCCAAAAGCACGTAAGCTATACGCTTCGCGCACTTCTGAGAATGAAGAAAAAAAGCTAGAGAGTGAGAAAGTAAGAGAGAGGAGTGAGAAGAATGAAAGATATTCAAAGAAAAAGAGAGATCAAATGTGGAAGTCCAAAAAGAAACCATTCCGACTAAAACTGAAAGAAAAACGTAAAGGGGAGAGAAAAGAACAGAATAAAATGAGCTGTAATTTTAAATAAACAGAAAAATGTAGAGATATAAAGATATCCACTTTTCTGAATGATATTCTGAGATTTGCTTGCTATTTTGAATTTGCTGTTTCTCAACATTTTGGGCTGTGTTAATGTTTAACAGTTTTTGAAGCAGTTAGCATAAAGGTGAGCCAAACAAATTCAGAAAAATCATACACAGAAATGCTAGCAAAATATTCTTTTAAGTGCAGTAAGAAACACTCAGGCCATATCCCAATCTGAGTAATTGAGAGGGACAAACAATCTGCAACATAATGTCTCTTTGGCCTTTAACCAGCAGGTTAGGAGGTGTTTGGGAATGTACAAGGATAACTTGCCATGCACTTAACTCTCCCTCCCATGGGGAAACACTCAGCCTTCGGTTGTGTTCACCCTTTATATGGCTAGGCTAAGTTTATCACCTGGCATAACTTATGAGTTGACAGTGTATGAGTACAGCTGCCTTGTCATCCACTATAAAATAGAATCATTTTAGTGATTATCCTGTAGTAATCCTGTAAGAATGATTTTCTGCCATTATGAAGTATTTAAGTCTTAGCTTTTTTAATTAGTATGCTGTATGGTAATTATAGCACACATTGGGAGTCAGATAGCAGTGGAATAAGCTACTGCAATATTAGTTACACAAGAGGCGTCAAATACATACTATATATCCACTGTGGAAAGAGAAGGGATAGAAACTGATCTCATATGACTGGACCAAAATATTACTGTGAAATGTTTGATCTCTAATGAGTTGCATTGTATAACCAATACAATACTGTTCTTGTCTTTCTGTCTAGGAAAGGCACCTTTACCCAGACCAGAGTACAAACCTAGTGAGCCAAATGGGTGTTCCTCCTCCTTCCTTGGAATCGAGGTACCAAATGCTGTATGTACAAGAAGCAGAGCTGCAATCTCTTTATTACCTACTTTTAGTAAAACCTAAACTTTAGAAGGTTAACAATAATCAAGAATTCTCTCCAAGAATGCGTATTGTGTATATAATTCTCGTGATACTATTGGATATGTAATTTCCAATGTAAATATTTGTATATGAGCAGTGTAGGAACTATTGCATGTACGAATCCCAATGTGGATTCTTGTCTAGTACCAGCCCCAGAGATGATATAATATTGTTTCCCTGAGACTCAGTTTGTGTATTATATACCAGGCCACAATAGAATTGCATTTACTATTCTCTTTACTTAAGTCCAGTGTAGTTACTTTATTGTAGGTATTAATTCCTGGTGGAACTGTTATATGTATCAATGCGAGGGTGGGTATTAAGTATACCAGTGCAAGTATTGTATGTACTAATCTTAATGAAGGGTTGTTATAGAAGTATTGTATGCGTCATTCCAGTAAAGATATTATAGATACACCCTTACTAGATAAGTGGATTTTACAGATCTGTTGAGTTACTCAACAATGTAAACTGAGGTTAATTTATCTCAATTCTGAGGAGAATGGGTATATTTTCAGCTGGGCAATTTAAGAGATAATTGATTTGTAAATGACATTACTTGATCTCAGCTCAGTACGACATTTTTCTGATGTGAGCTCATCTAAGTAGTAAAGGTTGCACTGAGTTAATGAGGGGCAGGGGGCATTACCTTCTGATTTTCTGAGTTAAAACTGATGTGTTGATAAATTCAAAGTGAGCTGCCCAGAGCACCAAATTATCTAGTAAAAGCTGTTGGATACAGTCATACAGAACATATCACAGCCGGCCTTAGCAATTGATAATCCTCCAATTGTGAAAAGTGCTATGTAAATTTGTATTGTATTATATAATGGTCACAACAAGCAAATCAGAGTGAGTGGCAAAATCATAAGAATGGCTTTCTCAAATGAGAATAATAATAGTAATAATAATCCTTGCATTTGATATAGTGCTTTTCACGTCTTCTAGACGTCCCAAAGCGCTTCACAGAATATACTGTAAAGTGAATTGACTGTATATTTGTGGGCGAACGCGGCAGCCAATTGCGCACAGCAATGTCCCACAGTCATGGATTGAAAATGACAAATTTTTTTAGTATTTTTTTTTTTGGAGGGATTATTATTAGGCGTAAGGAAACTTGCCCAAGGTTTTGCCCTGCCTGGAATTGAACTCAGGTCTCTCACTTGCAAAGCGAGTGTTCTAACCACTAAGCTACAGGACTTTTAATTAGCAGTAAATGTATATGTAAACAGCAACCTAGATTTCAGTTGTCAATTAAGGTGCAATGCAGAGTGAGTTAAATGTAACCACAACCCAGGGACTGAACTTTCTTGAAAGTTCTTGAGAAGAAATTTATGTTATCACATGAATTGCAGCTATTCCCACATGCAGTCATTGCTGAGATGTTAAACTGCAATGAAGGGGACAGCTGCTATCAACCTATAACCAGTGAGATCTTGCACTGTTTTAGTTTACTTTATGCAATTTGTTTTCAGTTTGATATGGGAATCCCAGCCATGACGAAGTGCTGTAACCAGCTTGACATGTGCTATGAAATTTGTGGAGCCAATAAGTACCGATGTGATGCCAAGTTCCGCTGGTGCCTGTACGGAATCTGTTCAGACCTGAAGAAAAGTTTAGGCTTTGTGTCAAAGGTTGAAGGTCAGTATTTTTTATTTTTAGTATCAGATAGTGATAAATGTGAAGACATTCCCTTCAAATATTTAAAATTCCTGCTCTGAATATAGTGAGCTGTCTTACCGACTTTCGATTGCAACCCTAATCTACGTCGTCAAACCGTACCAACCTGGCTGATGCCTGCACTTAGCGGAACCAGCTTCACGTGCAACACCTTACTCGCCCCACCATCGGAGGCTGAGCTTTCAGCCTCTCTGGCTCATTTTCTGGAACTCCATCCTGCTGTCCTTACTCACTTCTTTCGACGTCCATCTCAAGACCAACTTCTTTAACTTTAGGTCATCTTTCCCATTTCCACCCCCTTTTGGCTCCCACCCCCAGCTCGGGTGACAGATTGCTAAGCACTCTAGATCGTCCTCCTGACGTAAAAGGTGCTGTCTAAATAATTTTTTCTTTAACCTGGTGTTGTACAGTAATTGTGACAGAATGTCTGGATGTGTTATATGACACTTGTTGCCCCTAATAAATTAAGCCACAATAAATCTTGTAAAGACAATTCTAAGAATTATTTTTAAATAATAGAACATATACAGTATACAGAAGTACAAGTTTTCTGGAAATGTATTCAAGGTATCAATGTGCTGACTGAGTAACTATGATGAATTTAAAAACTACTTCAGTCTTGTATCTCACTGGCATTCTTTGTTCTGCATAAAATATGTTCAAGTTTCTATTAATTTGCTGGTCTAACCTGTGCAAAAACAAGCCCAAGGAACATAGTCCATACGAAAATCAGAGGGCAAGTCACTAGATTGCTTACCTCCTAGAAGCCAATTTTATTGATAGGGACCCAGGATCTCACTTACCCATCCATTTTTGTACCTAATGATACTTAGAGGATTCTCACCCTTAGCAAAAATAATGTAATGTATCTGTGTATTTTTGTCGTCACACTATTAAGTGGGAGCTTCAACATGTAACAAAGGGCAGTAAGGGCTGTACCCTGTGGTTCTCTCCACAATAAACTCCCGTTCTCAGCTGTGCCATTGAAGAGAGAGGTATGATTCCGTGGAGACCTTAAGTTAAGACTGGGAGAAAATATTAAAATTACAAAAAAAAATCTTTTATGTGGAGACATATCCCAAAATGTCCATGGCACTCTCTTTATAGCTTATATTTTGTAATATTCAGATTCATAATTTTTAAGTAAGAATATTTTTCAGTTTTCGGAGAAAATATTTCAATGTGGAGCATGTTAAAGTGGGCGTTTGGAAGAACTTACTGAATTAAATGTGAAGTATCCTGAAGATTATCTTGTTCTCTTGTTTTTAGCTTGTGAATCAGTGGCAGATACCATGTTTAACACAGTCTGGACCCTGGGCTGCAAATCCTTCATGAACAGTCAGCGATCAGCTTGCATATGCAATGAAGAGGAGAGAGATGAGCTTTAAGGACAAAAGCTACCAAGTATATGTTTGTGTGTCTGTATATGTAGCACAGCTCTTCTTAGCAATTATATACATACATAGACAACATGGCATTCCTTATGGATGCTTGATAATGAGACCTCCATACAATATAGATATTAATGCATGAGCTGTTTTTTCCTGCGCATGCATGTATATATATATATATAATAACCTTCCCTATCCATGGCTGTATATACCTCACTGATTATTTATTTTATGTAATAATTTCACAACACAAGCAGAAAGTAATATCAATTACTGAGCAGCCATTACATGCCACCTGCTGACAATGTTGTGGAACAGCCATGAGTTCAAATGAACATCCGCACTGAGTGCATGGTTACCTCCTTTTTACTTGTTTTTTTAAGTTATTTTTAAGTTTTAGTTTACTTTTTTTTCTTACTGAGTCTCCCCAGCCCACACAGGTTCTCCGTCCACTCTGATAGGCCATAGGAGCTTCTGCCAAAGTCAATCTATAAGTCCTCGCTGATCTGCTTTGTATGAAAATAAATGGACATCAGTATCTCACATGGCTATTCTACCTTCCAGTGAAACACATTATCTTCATCTGTAAGTTGTGGCAACTAAAGGATATTCCACTGAGCAGAGCAGGGGAATATGAGCCACATATTCATGTTGTGCTGTATACAGTCCTTGATCGCCATGGTTCTGGTGGCTTGTCAAGCTCATCAATTGTAAAGTGCTTTTGTTTGAGTAATGCAACAAAAGCATTACTTTAATGAAAAGTATCTTGATATTTAAAATAAAACAAATTTACAAAATGGTGTTGTATATTTACTGTATATAGATTGCTGTTGTACTACAAAAAAATCAAACACCGAAGCGTGGACAATGTACCATCATTGTAGTGATGGTACTTTTCAGATACCTGTTTATATTGACACAGAGAAGTAGAAAAGAAACAACAAAGACAAATGTGGCCCAAAGTTGATACAACCAGATCTATTTTCCTGCAATCCAAGACAGCTTAATAATAAAAATGTACTTTTTGTATCCATGAATGAGATGGGTTATATAATTTTGATACTTTATTGCTTGTGTTTTAAGAAACCTTTTTGCATTCATTAGTTTCATAGTAGAAAGGCGCTCTATAAATGTAATTTTGTTATAATTTGATAGCATGATTTTACAAAGCTAAAATTAAATGGGTTTGTATGAATTGTAATCAATGTTAAGTGAGGCGTTAATCTTTGGTGTAAATGGACATGAAGACGACTTGACAAGAAAATTGAGTAAAAGTTACATTTATTGTTATTATTGAAATGAGACTATGCGTGCTTTACAAGATTCAAAAACAAACTTCTACATTTTGGATATGCATACAATACGAATGAATTCAAAGCTGTTAGATTGAGTATAATGTTTAGACACTACAGTTCCACTACTCGGTGTCGATTACTATTGGTCCACCAGTAAGAACATGGTTTCTCAGATGACCTGTATCTTCTGTTTCGGAAGATCTTTGAATCCGTGCACGACATCCTTGAGAACAGCGGGATCTCTCGTCCAAAGCCCCACACACCAAAACCCGGCAGTGCAAGTACACCTTCTGCGAAGTGAGGCAACGACAGTCAGCAAAGTTGCAATCACAATGAAAATCTCAAACTACAATTATGGTAACAGTAACACAGACTACACATGTTTGACTAGGAGAGAGACTGGGAGCAATTAATGCAGGCTACATGCACCCTTACTAACAAACACTAATAACACAAACAATACATACCTCACTAACAGAGCAGGGGAGAGTAACATCCAAATAGTTAACCAGGGTTTTCAGATTGTTATACTGTGCATTCTCTAATGCTTCTGGTACCACTTGAGCCCACAACTTTATTCTACCGTTTACACCTTTTCAGGAAAAATTCCTTACCTTATTGTCTTTTCCCACAAATTTGAAGACAGGCACGTAGAAATGTTTTGCTAGATGGTCCCTGGAAGTCTGTTGTTTTACTGCATCATCACTGACACAGCTAGGATAGGAGAAAAGTAAATGTTTGTTTGGGCTTCTGGTCATTGAAGGAATCCAGATTCTGAACTTTAAATGCTGACTTGTTACATCCCACTAGGGGACCTCAACATATGACTTTTATCAACCGCACTGCATTGGAAACGCAAAAAATCCAAAGAATGCAGGGGACTAAGCAACCACAGAATGGAGGAAACAAAGCAAAATAGAGCTGAACATTAAAGCAGATGAGAACAAGTTGTGATCAGAACTTTGTGGAATTTGACGTACATTTTTGGTAGGTTGCTTGGAGTGAGTCAAAAAAAAATGTGCACGGAATTTACCTTAATTGTGCTGACATGAGAAGTTGTAAGATTCTGGAATCTATGAGGGTGGATCCTGCACTCACCACCTAGGTAGTACATGTCACTGATTAGGCCCTAAAGTTGTCCATCAATTGTTGCTTTGGAGACAGCAGGTGGGAGTTATTAAGTAAGAAATTGGGAGACTTCCAACACCGGGTTTGACAAAGATCCCATGCACAGCAGCTCAGAATTATGTCGTCTTTTAAGGAAAATGAGCCATACAATAGCTGAGGAGAGACTGAGGAACAACAACAATAAATTACATTTGTACAGCGCCTTTCACATCGGGAGGACGTTCCAAGGCATTGGAAGAAGCTAAAGCTCAGGAATACGGATTGCTCTGAGATGCTTCAGCTGAAATAAGCTTCCGTGAGTACTGAAATTAAAGTGGCTGCAAATGTTAAACACTGAAGCGGGTCTCTGAAGTGAAGTAATAAATGCATCAGGCTGGTGTGATGTTGGAGGAAGGCCATTCTTACATTTACAGTAGAAACATAGCATGTGGCAATGCACCAATTTTGCTAGTTTTATTATCTTTATTATATTGGTTATATATCAAGACTCGCCAATGTGGGCATCCAACTCTCAGGCTAAATCCTAAACAGTTTTTCCTTGGCAGGTGACATAACTAATTTAGCAAATGTTAGGCTATCTAGACACTGAACATCAGCCAGGACCAATGGAAAAAAAAACACTTCACTGCTCCTAAAGACTACAGATTGTTGCCTGGACATCGTCATTAACACTTGCAGCCAACACAGGTGTGATGAATTCAGTTAATTTGTACCAACTACAAATGTATTGTTTTTCCACACCGAAATGTAGATGTTGCTGCTTTAATTCCAGTTCATAGTTGTGAAGTGACCTGACCCAATTTACTACTGTTCGATTTATCAATGATAACTTATTTATGTAAAGAAAATTTTGAATTATAATTACTTTATGTGTTCCTCTTAACTCAAACTGATGGTGTCCAAACTCATTAATGAGCATTTGACTGCCTTTCGCGACTGCAGTGAATTCTATTTAAATTTGGGTTTATTGGATCAAAGAGAATGGTAAAGCTGTTAATAGATGATAATGCAGTGGTGAATGTGATGGAAGATAGGTGAATATTATTGATTTTAGGATGTGGAGTCTAATGGCATACAGAATTTTAGCGGCAGATATCCAAGTATACTGAATTTATTGTGAGGCTACAGTGTGCATTGTTCTATTGAATACCTTTTTTTAAACAATGTACACAATTTGGAACGCATTGTACAGAGTGTCCACAAAGATATATTACCTCCATATTTTTTTTCTACAGTGCACTGACCAAAAACTGAAACGTGTGGGATAATAATGATAATTGTATTTAGAAGTACTTAATTGTGTGTCAGCGCAAGTGTTTAACTGTATTTAGATGTCCAGAGGATCTGTGTGAGCACCATCATTTTCATGGCAGATAATGATCCGTCACCATGTTCGATTCAATATCTTCAATAACATAGATGGAGTGATGAGGCAAAATTCATCTCTGACAGTTTGTTTCAGCTCCTCTGTAGTCTCATATCACTCTTTTGTTACAGGGGGCTAAGAGGACTTGGTGGACACCCTGAATAGTACATTTCTCTTAACTTGCACTTACCCATCCTTGATCAGGTAATATCTCATGATATCATCACTTTTGGGGGAAGGGGTGGCAAAGCAGTTCTCAACAAGAGCCTGAAGCCCATCCACGTGCATGAGGGGCTCAATCCCGAAGTACAGCGAGTCGCGGAGTTTGAGAACCGGTGGTGCATCTCTGTAAATTTCATCAAATTCCTTGGATTTAAAGATTTCAAGAGCAAAGGGGAAACGTCCATGGTTTCTGCTCATGATCTCCAATTGAGAATTCAAGGAGTTTGGCACATAGCCTTCGGACACGGTGTACCGTCGAGGAAACTCACACACGATGGGGATCACCAGCTTACTGGTCCGGATGATAATATCCCCGTTGCTTCCTGGGGTCTGCTTCGGAATGCCTGTCAGAGTGTTGGTTGCAATTATCTTATCATCCACAACCTGAAATAAAACATTTCAAAAGACAGGTACAAACAATAAGCATCATTCATATAACCTGGGGTAAAAAAACTATAAAACTCCAGACACAAAGAGCACTTTGCTTTTTTATAACTAACTGAATACGAGACTAGGTGTATTGGTGATACTGTTTATTACAGCAAAATCTGACCAATGTGTGTGAGAATACACTTTTTTTTCCCACTTCCTTTCTCTCCAATTTCGCTGGGCCATAACTAAGTCTGTTTTAAGACAGTATTGAGCACCCTGCTCCTAAGCTCCAATAATACTGCCTTGACCCTTCCACCAGGAGAAGCACAACACCCACTCACAAAATATTTCAAATAATTTGAACACACCTATGCAAAATTGTCCTTCTCTGACGCATTATTCTAGAAAGTTCCTGTAAATCGGATTAGTTTGCACAATTACCTCAACAACTGTGCCACAGGTTTTCAGATTAAAGTTGATGTTGACGTGAGTTCCATTGGAAAGTCCTTGGCACGATGAGTTCAAGAGAAACAGTTCTAAACCACCAATCAAATCCTTAGGCACCGACACCTCAATTGAATCTGACTTGCATTGGACAGGAACTGTCAACAGATACCAGAGGAGTGAGAGGTCAAATCCAAAACAGACAACAAGATGAAAATCTGGTCTATTTCTGAGCATGGACTGAGCTTGTAGTGTGTTAGATAACAGCCTTTGAGTCGTGCTGTGTGTTAGAATGCAGTCTTTCAATGTTGAGAGCTGGACTCAGTTCCAACCCACAGACGTGGAATTGGATATCTATTCTGTGTAGCAGTCAGAATAGGAGGTTCAGTGGTGCAATGTTTTAGTTGGATTAACCTAGGAATATTGACACCTGGGTTCAAATGTAGCCCAGATGGTGGGGAAAACAAGTAAATACAAAATCAGCTCATCTTTTTCATCAGATTCTCTTCACCTCGATTCCTTGACTCTATTAGGGGGAAATTGAACAGGGGGAACAAAGGAGGTTCCTAAATATCAGAATTCTACATTTCTGAGCAAGATGAATTAAAACTATCGGATTTCACTGGGAATTCTTAATAACTTTTAGGCCCCTTTAAGTGGCAAGGAGCCAGTAACCTGAACACATTATCTGTGGAGAGAATGTATAGTTGGTTTATCATATCTCCTGGCCCCATTCAAAATATTATTGATCTGCTATAGTGGCACATTGACTATTACAGTACTAAGCATCCTTTTACTATACAGAAGTAAATACCCAGCTAAAATATTTTATTTTCATTGTATACATGTACTTCATGGCTACTGTAGTGAGATTTAATGGGTTAATTTCCATCCGATTGTTTAACAATCATGACACTTTGCATTATGTCTCTCAGTAATGAAGAGTAATCTGGTTTGGATGTTCTTAAGCATGGTGATGGGTTTTCGCATATGTTAACAAATTGTATATCTCAACGCCTACCTCCAATGTGAAAAACAAATTTAAAAAGAAAAGCTCCAAGTCATGAGATTTACCTAAACAGCTGTGAGTGTCTTCTGATAAGACAAGACCACGTGGACATTCACAATGGTACCCATCATCTCCAGTCGTGCAGACATGGCTACACCCTCCATTATTATAGTGACAGCCTTCAATGTCTGCAGGTACAAACGTAACAAATCATTAAGTTGGAACATTCAGAGGGACCAGAAAATATTATTCAATGAAAGTAAGTTGTTACTGTTGTTTAAAATAACCACCTTTTCTCTGTACAGTTACTTGTACCAGTATAATATATATTATATAATATATTATCAAATGCAAATATTATTATTATAGAAGGTATCTGAAAAGCATTGCATTTTACCAGTCTTGTCACCCTAGGTGAATCATTAAAAGCTCATCTCCACTTCATTGTATTTCTAAGGAGATGTCAGTGTTGCTCTGACTGAAACACTAGTAATCATGCAATATTGGTTCTAATACATGTGCTGCATCACCTCTTTCCCCATTAGATTTGACTGCACAATTCAACCCACAGACCACTCTGTGACCATCCTCATTTGTCAGAAAGACAAATGTCCATTGTTTCCTTCCCCTTTGTCCCATTACAATAAGTATGAAAAGCACACAACTCTGGGAGTGAAACTTACACTTTTCTAACAAAAAAGCCTCAATATCCTCCTGGAAGTGTTCTTGCAGTGCCCAGAAGCAACTAAAGCTAAACTAGAATTTCCACCATTTAATATTCAGCTCAGACGGTGCCTTGTCAGATGTTTACTGACTTAGAACAGACAACAAGAGCCTCCGCTTACCTTCACAGGTCACATGGTCATTGCTCAGCACATGCCCAGCCATGCACGAACACTGGAATGAACCCTTCAGGTTGTGGCAGATCTCACTGCAGCCTCCATTATTTACCTCGCATTCGTTGACATCTAGTGAGATAAAATGCAAGAATCACAGGGGAAGAGTTATTTAAAACATTAAAAAAAAGCATTGGCTTTCATCCTTTTTTTAGGCTTTTGATTTCCATCTTTTGATGAATACAACCAGTACTTGAAGAGCTTTTTATTCTCGCATATTAATTCTTGTATATATCTATAACGTTACCCTTGTGATGCACAGTCCCTTGGAGCTTCTTTACCTAGACAAGTCTGCCCATCTGGTCCAAGCACGGTTCCTTCAGTACAGTGGCACTCCTCCAAGCCTGAGCAGGTCCCCACACAATCTGCCTCGTCGCATATATCATAGAAATCTAGAGCAAAAAAATAATGGGTGAGCGGGAGGCACTATCTTTATCAAACATTGCAAAATAATAATAATTCTGGCAATTACAATGTTTTATCATGTCAAAACGTCTCAAAGCATTTCACAGGATTTACGGTAAAGTGTAGGGACTGTAGGGAAATCTGGCAGCCAATTGTGCACAGCAATGTCCCCAAAACAATCATGAAATGAAATTTTCAATATTCATTGACAATTCAGAATTAAAATAAAAGCTTATTCTTTACTTGGAAAAGGACCTGGTGTGATTACAGCTGTGTTTCCTTCTTTTGTGTAGACTGGAGCGATTTTCTGTGGGTTTGATTGGTAGTTGGTGAACACTGCAGAATAAGCTCAGAGGGAGCGAAGTTGGGTGCGGCTCACATTTGTAGTAACCAAGAAAGGGGCTACTGAGAAGGTATTGAATAAATATAAGACAGATAACCGTAAATTGATGACAGATGGCTAGCACATTTGTTTTACAATGAATATGCTGTAGAAATACTATCTGCACTCTTTTAAAAAGTTGTTTATGTCTTTGCACCAATAACCAAATGAGTGGCATGATAGTGATCAGTGCCAGCCGGCTGCCTTTGGCAGGTGACCACAAGTGGTGTAGGTCAGGCTGACTTGATTTCTCAGGCCACTGTTTGGCACTTTCATTGTTGGCCTCAATAATGAGGGCGAGATCCCAAATTTGCGGAGAATTGGGTTGCGGTTAGTAGCTGTCCATCAGTGGAGAAGGACTTTATTGTTAAAAGTGCGGTTCTTCAGATAATATGCTTAAACCAAGGTCTCGTGTCTGTTCAGGTGGAAGTTAAAGATCCCATGGCATTATTTGAAACATGAAGAGTTTCTACAGGGTCCTGATCTACAATCCCCAGATGAAAATAGATTGTTCATTTCATAGCTGTTTGTGGGACACTGCTGTGTGCAAATTGGCTGCTGCATTTGCTTACAAATATTCAGTCACTATACTTCACAGAAAATATAAGTGCTGTGAGACGTTTCAGCTTTGTAAGCTGTTGCATCAAATACAAGTTTTTTTTTATATAACCACTGCGATTATGCTATTGGAAGCTGTTTTACAGTAATATTATTGTTTAGAGAATGTCAGCATAATTATAGAGTCAGGGCTTCAAAAACAAATTGTACATAGTTCAACTCTTCCACCATTAAACAGATAATCGCTTTAATGTTACTGGTAATATTGGTCTGGGAAACCACTTAAGATATTGTATTATAGTCCCACACTATCATTCAGATATGTTTTACCCATAAAGTGCTCCAAGACTCCAAGGTGAGGGGTGGGGGAGGTGGGGAAGTACAATCAAAAACATGGAAGAATGATTACTGTAACTCAAACTCCGTAAAATAGAAGATTGTACAGAAGAAATACTACACTCTTTGAATAATCCCATTTGCTTTCAAAACATGTGGAAACATAAATAGCATAAGAGCAAAAATAGCAGCCACATGTAGTGTTTTACCAAAAGCCGCCTGAATAATCATTCTGATGGGATTACTAAAATCTCTCAAGATGATGAGCATGACATTTATCAAAGCGAAAGAGTTAAGAGCTCTACACCTTGAGCTTTTTCACTTACGTCCACAGTAGGCATGAAAACAGTAATTGGGTTTGGGCAGGCGGTACACATAATACCCCTTTGGGCATGCCTTCACATCAATAATGGTGCTCCACAGACAGCAATTGTTGTTGAAGCTGGCACATGCCTCTATGGACACAATGCCAGCAGACACGTTAGGGTGGCTGCCATTAAGCCAGATGGGCGCGTGGGTGCCGCAGAAATTCTCCTCGATGCAGAAAGTGGGCATGGCATCCCCTGACATGCCAGTGAAACGGTACCACTGCCCGTCCATATCGTTGTCACACTTGAGCGCCCCCAATGAATCGTTGATGTGATTCTCAGTGTTCCGCCACGGCTCATTCAGGCTGATGTACGTTGAGCATGGTTCCAAGTCTGCCATAAAGAAAATCAGTACGTGACTTATCATAGTGCCAGCACCAGCCCATAAATACAAGAGGGTTGCAAGTTTGATTTCTAGTATACAATAAGCTAGCAGATATCAGCGGGGGAATCTTTTGTGGTGCTGCAAAATGCTTAATGGCTGGAGAGGAAAATATTGGCCAGAGCTGCACAAACTGATCAAATTTCTCGCCGAGACTGTGATTTTCCCTTGTAGTTGAATAGCCTGACCACATTCACTGTCCAGATTCACACTTGTGTTGTTCTCAGAGTTCATGAGAAAGGGATCAAAAATGGGAACTCTAGGTGTGTATTTTCTTCTCTCCAGCTCAGGCTGTTAAAGATCAATTGTACACCTCCAGTGAAATTCCCAATTCAATACAAATAGGAGATTGAACCTATAACTTTCTGGGCTTAGTTTCATACTAGGGAGTGACCACTAACTGAACTTTTAGAGCTACAGTACATTGCACACTGATAATGTAAAATTGTAATAGTTCTCATTTGAAGCAGTTCGGAAATAAAGCTTTACTAAAGATAAACTATCCGTTGTTTTTTCATCACTGAAGCAATGCAGAGATGATGTTTTTGTAATACATTGACCTGTTTTGATACGATTAGTGTCAGTTTGTGATATAAAGAAAAACTTTCAACATACATTGTCTCTAACATTTCATACAAAATAGTTCCAATGTTATATTAAACAATAATAATGCAGTATTTAGCATATTAATAAGGTAATCAGTATCAATTGCAATGATGCACTATACAGTCAGTGTTGCATTTGTGCATAGATTGAGACTTGAATCGAATCAGATTCAAGTCTCAACCAGTTTCTTCAATTCAGAGACCTATCAGTTTTTAATAATTAAATGTTAACTGAACGCTTGTGGCTGTAACCTTTGCTTGTACATTATGAAGAACTGCATCTAATTCCCTCCTGTTAATTAGATCAATTTAGATGTGAAGTTGTCCAAATTTGTTCATTCTGTGTGAGTTCTTTTAAAAAAAAATGCTGCATTTTAAATTCAAAACCTTTCGCTTACAGTCCTGTCATTGCAATATACTCACACAATGCTGATGATGTTTGAAATCCAGCGGAGAGAGTTAGGCTCAGTAGTAGAATCAAGGAGTGCATTCTTATCAGTGACTGCTCCAACACGAAGATTCCAATTGTGAGATTCTCCCCCCTCTCTCTCCTCTCTCCAGCCTTCTGCTGACTGCTTCTTCCAAATGCTGGCTGGGCATTTTATCCCTTGGATGGGCTCCTTATCTGGGCACAGGAAAGAGGGAGTGGGTGCACATCCTCGACCTTGGCCTGGAGGGGGGAGCTTGTTCTGATAGAGAAGCTATTTTCACGCATCCTCCTATTGTTTTAGATCATTGCTCTCCCTTGACGGCTATCTTATCCCACCGAGAACATGACACTAGACCTGAGCCACCAACTAACTCAGCCTTGTCATGGCCATTGTGCTTCCTGGGGTTGTTCTGGGGGCAAGAATCTTCCCTCAATAAACAGAAAGTTGGACAAACAGTACGACGGAAGGCGACACAGAAATGTCTGAGTGTAGCCACCTCAGCAGGTTGTTTTGATCCAGCAGAGGTCATGTGCAGCGTAAGTATGTGCTGGCGATAATGTCTCATCCAAATGTTATCTCAATTTTTTTCCCCCGATTTGTGTGTCGCCACTTTGTTTCTGATATTTTCTCGTAAGAGTTAATATGGAAAAAAAAACATTCTGCTCATTCTAAGCTTGTGCTTCGCTGCACTTTTCACATGCACTTAAACAGATGATGTAATTCCTCCACAGCATTAAACCAGATCAACTCATGTTGTCATTATGAGCTTAATCTAATGGATGTTAGCCAAACCAGGGGAGTTCAAGCTCACTGCTTTGAAATAACATTTTGGGGGAGGAAGGAGTAAACTCCTATAAAAGTCAAACTTAATATTCAAACGACAGGTGCTTGTAAGTAGTCATTCTGTGAGGCTTGACCGTAGATGTTGGCAGCCTATACAACCATGAGATGGACATGCAGTCTGATCCTGCCCTCACCTGACATTCACATGTATATATTCTTTAATGTATATAAAACCCACCAGTAAATGGCTGGAGTTTTACTCCCTGATGGCTGCAGATATATGGATTTCTCACTATCTAGGGCAAGATTTGATTAAATTTATTTAGCTGCTCATTAGATATCTATAAATTGTGATACTTACCACCAAAAGCAGAGTGGAGTGGAGATAAGATCCTGGTCTAGTTTAATTTAATTTGTATCCCTCATATTACAAACCTATCCCTTCATTCCTCTGTCTGATTGTGGAAATGAGAGGGCTGCAAATTAAGAACAAAGCCGTGACTTACATTAACTTCAGGTTATTTTAGAGCAGAACTAATTTTCCACATTCTCTATCCAGTAGCTATTGCCAGCTTTGGGTATATCTTGATAGACTGGAGCAGTGTTACTCATTAATTTATCATTCGATGTGTTGCTCGAGAGGGGTTTAAAATGTTATGTATAAGGTTAATTTTATCTGATTGCTACAAGATACAAATGTAACTCTTTCTGTTCAAACAAAGACTTGAAAATGAGATAGGAATTTACAATTTTAATCCCCTGTATTATTGCACTTTAGAAGCTTTATTTAAAAATATTTTCTGAACAATATTTCTCCCCTTTGCTAACAGCAATGTGCACAAGCTCATGTATATTTTTCTGCAAATTGAGCTCATACTGAATTGGGTTTAGGTTTAACCAACCGAACCTTGAACGCTACAAATGACATTCAGAAGGCACACATTAGAATTGTTAAATTGAGCAAAAACTCGGAATGAGCTGGTGAGATCCACTTTGCATCCCGACATCCTTATAATAATAAAATGTGGTCTTTGGCACATAGCCTTGGTGAACACACTGTTACAGCAAGTGGTGGCAGTGAAAGTCAGGCACTGTCAGCTTGGTTCCCAGTGTTGTTGGATAGATCAGTCAGGGCCCAAATGCTCGGCTTTCAAACGTGCACCAAACTGCACAGGCAGCTGCCTGATACAGCCAACCACTCGGTGAAGATTTTCTTTTCTTTAGAGGTGTCAGTGTACATTGAACATTTCTGAATTGTAGTAGTTCTCCTACTTATTTATGATCTTGGACTCATAAATCAGGAACCTTTCCCAGTTAATTTTAATGAACTCATTGGACTGGCTCCTGCAGTGGCTTCTTGACGTTGGGAAAAGTTCCTGTTTTACAGTAATACAGTACTATGTTTGGCAAGAAATCAAAAGTGCTCTGTTGGGTACCAAAGAGGCCTTTGGAAATATAATTAAATCAGAAACACAATAGAAAAATAGCTGCAAACGTCTTTGTCAAATTAATTAAGAAACAGCCATTGGAGCTGAACTGGCTGCAAGGTGAGCTGCTTACCAACAGAATAAGGAATCAAGTAAACCTTCTATGGTGGCCTCGCTAGTCTGGTTCCTGAGCCAGGTTGGGGTTGGTCTGTAGAACTCCAGCGCTCATCTGATAGATAAGCCATCCCACTCTGCTCCTATTAATCGTACAAGCCAAAGCCTCAATGATCGGGAGCTCTGAGTTGGACGAGCAGCAGGAAGCTTGCCAGACGATGCTCTTAGTTGCATGCTATGTAGCTTTAGCTGGTTCAATTCCAGCAGTACCCCTGCACCCATACATGTTCCTGGAGTTCACTAACCGGCGATAATATTTTCTGTAGTTGGATAAGAAGGATGTGTCTCTCCAGGAAGACCATCCCCATTCTATTTCAGACATTTTTTTTGTGTGTGTAGGACCATGCAAATGTGCAATTCTGTCTGGTTTGGATACTCGTATGGTTTATTCACATGTCACCCGCAGACCAAAAAAGCATGAGCTTACACTATACGTATTGGTAAATAATGCTAGTCAGGGCTATACAAACCATCATGCTGAAAGGAGAATGACATCAGGTCTCTGCGACTCACAAGACTTAGGAACATCATTGTATCATTACCCATAACCTTGTAAAATAAGATCAATCTCAGGGATAAAGGTAAGAAACATCAGAACTGCACAGCTTGACATTGATAACCATGAAGGATATTAGGAACTGAATGACTCACAAACACAAAGGATGAATCACAACAGACACACAACTTAGAGAAATGGGTGAGTAGAAAAATAAACCGGCTGGTATGTTAGAAAGATTCTGAAATATCCAGTTAATGGAGTCTTGATGGATAATAAGCACATTACAATTAAATGTAGGTTTATTGAGGATTTAGCACCAGAAAAGATTTATAACTTAAAAATTGCAAATGTTAGCAGAATGAGAAACTAGCTGGAAAATAACAAGAGGACAATGAAGAGCAATAAAGGGGATGACAGTCATAAAATGTTTTGCAATTAGTTTTATTTGAATATGCCTGGAAACGTAGGAGGGTTTGCCTCACTGTAATTAATAATAATACTTTAATTTGACATAGCACTATATCACATTCTATAATAATAATATTATTATATCACATTCTCAAAGAGCTTCACAGGATATACTGTAAAGTGATGTGACTATGTGTTATAACCCACAACCCCTCATTGTCCAGCACCTTGGGACATCCTCCCAACGTGAAAGGCGCTATAAAAATGAAATTATTTGTTGAGTATTTTGTGGACAAACTCTCCTTAACCCCCTGTTCTCACAGAAATGGGTGAGCTTCCAACACATCTGTGTATGTTAAAGAGTCGCCGGATATTAATGATCTGGCTATGTGACAAACAGAGCATTAAGATCTTGTAATCTTGAAATTTGATTCTGATCACAGTGTCACAGGAAGCATTTACAGCCCTTGAGAGGGTGCAAAGAAAGGTCGGAGAAATTTAAGACAATCTAAAAAGAAAGTAATTGAGAGAGGACTTAAATGGAGTACTACTAATAATAATCCTTGCATTTGAAGTAGAGCCTTATCGCTGCAGCCAATTGTGCACAGCAGTGTCCCAAAAACAGTCTTGCATTGAAGTGATCAATTTACTTTTTTTTAAGAAATTAAGAAAGGCAATCTGCCAATTGACTAACAACCGGGTTCCTACTTACTGCTTAGTAAACAGAGTCGTGTGGAGTAAGGAAACTGGCGCAACATTTCGCCCTGCTGAAAAATCGAACCCTGCTTGCGAGGTGAGTGCTCTAACCACTGAGCTACAGGACTCCACTATTGTAGTAGTAAAGGTAAGCTCAGTGGTCTGTACTTAAACATGACGTATTAAGTTCTTATGATAGTAAAGCACCGTGATCACTTGTAGCATGATATGAACATTGAAATACAATACTGAATTTGAGAGTACGACTGAATCCGTCTGAACTCCCTGCTGGAATGGTGCCATTATTTCCGACTTCTCCCAGCAGAGCGACAATGGATTCATATTTCAAGACTATATAACATTTCACAGTGACTCTGTATATTCAAAGTAAATAATATTGATTTGTATGCGTGATCAGATTTACGCAGTTTAGATGGAAGGAAATTGGCCCAGTCGTGCTTGACTGGTAGTTTCTTGACCAGTCTTGAGTTGACTGCAGATCCATTGATTAATTTTGGAACCTTCCAAGGTTTGATGTGCAAGTCAGAAATCAAATGACTGACAGAATGTGCTGAGCAAAAGGGCCTTTATGTAAGGGTGCCAATCAGTAAGGGTTTATTAGAGTATGTAGAATTCTAGTGGATAGAAAAACGTCATACATAGACAAACCCATAAATTAAACTAGTCTTAATAAAGTAATAAATCAATTATCTGATACAAAAATTGTGACTATTTCCATGGGTCCACATGTAGATTCCTGCTAGACTCCTCACGCTGTGCTGAGCAGCCCACCGGAAAGATCTGGTCACAAAAAAAGGTCTGAACACCAACAGATCTTAACAAAAAATGGCCATTGATTGCATTAGGCAGATGGTTGCTGGATAGAGCTGGTTTATTATGGAAAAATGATCTGGATTTTTCCAAGGTGTTTGTGGACAGCAGGCGGTTCTTGAATAGAGATGGTTGCTTTGACTATTGAATTCAGTCCATGGAGAGTTTTGTTTGACCTCAATATTTTCAAAGATTTTATAAGACGTTTGTAACAGGTCTGTGATGAATTTTAGAATATAAAGCTCTTGGGTAGAGTAAAACTTGGCATCAAAGACAAGAATTTGCATCCTTTGTTTTCTATGCTGTGAGAGACTGGGTACTGCAAATGTTTCAAAAGATAAGATGTTC